GCACAGGGAAGGGACCTTTTGTGACCCCTCCAATGCTGTGTTGCACTTTAAAACACAAGCGCCAGGAATGCTGATGCTTTTAATAGCTGCACTGGAAGCAAGAGGCAGGTGTGTGTATTCAAGGCCAGCTGGGTCAACAAAGTGAACTCCAGGACAGGCAGGGCTCTGTAGAAAAACCCTGCCTCAAAAGCAACAAAAAAAAAAAAAAACTTTTAGGAGAATTGCAGGTTATTTCAGATTGTTCAGTAAAGGAAAGTGTAGGCGGGTGGGAGCTACAGCTTGTAGAATGCTCTGCTTTATGCTGATATCTAATGTTCCTCTAGTAGAAAGTGTTTTCCAAGACCTGCTTACCCACTAGCCTCCACCTGTGGCTTGTGTCCATGATGCTGTTTTTATACCACTGCTTCTAAGGGTTATTTCTCTTCTGAATACAAAAGATAGTGTTAAGACATAAAATTGTGTAAAACCTTAAATGGTAGGGCTGGAGAGATGGCTCAGAGGTTAAGAGCACTGGCATTTCTTTTAGAGGTCCTGAGTTCAATTCCCAGCAACCACATGGTGGCTCACAACCATCCATAATGAGATCTGCTGCCCTCTTCTGGCATGTTTGACCACATACAGCCAGAACACTGTATACATAATAAATAAATAAAATCAAGAAAAAAAAAAAAAACCAAAAACCTTACATGGTTTCTGCAGTGATTTAGGCCATAAAACTCCTTGACTTAGTTAACTCATTTCAGACCAGACCAACATTTTTTATTTTTTAGCTCTACGTACTTAAAAAGTTGGAAATCACCATTGCTGATTACTTTTTTTCTTTTAGGATTTTTTTTTTTTAACAGGGTTTTTCTATGTAGTCCTGGATGTCTTGGAACTCTCTATGTAGACCAGGTTGGCCTTGAACTCAGAAATCTCCCTGCCTCTGCCTCCTAAGTGCCAGGATTAAAGGCTTGTACCACTCTGCTGAGCATAGGGTTTTTTTTTTTTTTTACATGACCATAACTGATTCCCAGCCAAACAAAAATACTAATTTAAGATAATTGGAAATTTGAATTTCATAGAATTGTGTGGTTGTGGTGATTATTTGGTGCCTCCTGAAGTCTGATATATGGAATGTTGTGTGTGAATACAGTGCTGGGTTCTGGGGAATGGAAAGCTGTGCAGAGAGCTGTAAGAATGACTGTGTTTCCTCACATAATAAATCTATGGAAATGGAAGTAGAGAATTTTATTCTGCTAAGAATGGGCCAATGTGTTCCTCAGTATAGTAGAGGGAGTCTGGCAAGTCTGTGTTCCTGGGAAGCTGACTGGATCCACCTTGGGTGCCAGACACCAAGCAAGTTCTAAAGCACTGGCACGGTGACAGTGGCATTCATTCTGACTCCCACTTGAACATTAATTACCTTTTCTTGTTTGGTTCAACACTAACTGCACAGATCAGGAATTACAGTGGGATTAATTAAGGTTGGAATTTGGTCTCTGATGAAAGCCTGACACTTAAGTGCTCCAAGTCCTTTCTGTTCAAGATGCTGCCTGTCGATAGATTCCCAGCACTTTGCTCCTGCACCTTGATTCTCAGCTAGGATTGGAAGCTGGGGCTTGCTGTTGAAGATGACAGCATTGCTGTATACTTCGATATGCTGTAAAATGACATTTTCTAAACTGATAAAATAAAGCTTTACAATGTTTTCATACTGGATAGAATTGCTACTGTGTTAACATTCTATTTGGTTATCTGTCTGCACTTACTTTGATAACAGGATCTTGCTCTAGCCCTGGCTGGCTTAGAACTGTCTTTGTAGACCATGCTGGTATTGAGCTAAGAGATCCTCCTGTCTCTGCCTCCAGAGTGCTGGGATTGTAAAATGTGTGCAGCCAGCCACCACCTGTCTGGTCAGTTCTATTTATGTTTATTCAGTATTTTTTTTTTTTTTTTTTTTTTTAGGTTTTTCAAGACAGGGTTTCTCTGTAGCTTTGGAATCTCTCCTGGAACTCAATCTGTAGACCAGGTTGGCCTCAAACTCACAGAGATCCACCTGCCTCTGCCTCCCAAGTGCTGGGATTAAAGGCATGTGCCACCACTGCCTGGCTTTATTCAATATTCTTATGTTTTTATTTACATGGAGAGGACAGAGAACTACTAGATTTTAAGTATTGTACATACTGTCAGAATTGAGAATAAATAGTTTAAGTCTTGAGGGTGCTGGAGATCAAGCCCAGGGCCTTATGCTAAGCAAGTACTTAAAGCAACACCCAGGGTCCTAGAAAGCCCAAGGTTTTTAGGCTATCCTTGAGTGGGAAATTTCAGATGTACAAGTGAGAATTTTAAGAGCCAAGTTTTATGCTACCTGTGGATCACTGACTGAGGTAAATATCACAACAGTGGGTGGGAAATAAGAAAGCCACTATAGAGTTAAAGGACCAAACACTGTGCTTCACGCTGCCTGTCCTATGTTTAAAAATAGGACAATGTTAACAAAAATGGCTATGGACCGCAGGAACACTGTGGCAGTTTCTCATGAAACTCCTGGCAAATACAGGTGTGAAAAGAAAGGGAAGCGTGTACCATGGGCATGTCTGGAAGAGACCTGAAGGGACTGCAGAGAGCAACAGGGTCCTCACCCATGTCAAACGCCCAACAGTCTGCTAGGCAACCCTGGCAAGCGCTATGTGCACTGCCCCCAGAATTCAGTTACCTGGCTTTATTCACACAAGTGTTTCAAAGCATCTCACTGTAGCTTTACTTCCCGGGGGTTTTCTGTGACAGCGTAGTGTCCACAGTTAACAAATCATGACTTCATTTTCTGTAATCTTGTTAGCATCACGGGTTTGTGACTTGAAAATATCCTGAGTTGGATGTGATGGCACACATTTTTAATCCCAGCATTCAGGAGGCAGTGGCAAGGGAATCTCTGGCTAATCACGGCTACCTAGTGAAACCCTGCCTGAAAGAAAGGCCAGGTGCATCCCTTTAATCCCAGCTAGGAGGTAGAGGCAGGCAGATAGATCTCTGAGTTCGAGGCCAGCCTGGTTTACATAGTGAATTCAGGACAGCTATGACAATGTAGAAACCCTGGTGAGAGAGTGAGAGTGAGAGGGGGAGAGGGAGAGGGAGAGGGGGAGAGAGAGAGAGAGAGAGAGAGAATGAGATGATATATATATAATCTATTTCTAGGTGTTGCTGTGCCAAACAGTCCCCTTTCTGTTATTTACATTAACCCATGTATTGTAAGCTAGAGATCTCCAATAGCAGTGCTTCTACTGGCCTTTCAGTCTCTGGTGGCAGACCTGACTGTGCCACAGATATGGCACTGTAGGTCTAAGTCCCTCTGGCCACTGTTTTTATGCAGGAACCACGATGCCAGATGCCCACAGTCTGTCTCTTCTGCTTGGTCTTGCCACCGAAGGATCTAGTAAACATAGTGTGCTGGCTGACTTCAATTTTCCACACCATTTTCCTGGAGGTACCTTTTTGAGCCTGGGATAAGGTGTAGTACAGTGCTTGCCTAGCGTGCACAACGGTCAGAGTTCAATCTCCAGCACTGCAGAAGCACTGTATAAATCAGCATGGTGGTGCATGCCTGTAGTCTCTCTCAGCACTGAGGCGGAGTCAGGAGGACCTGAAGCTCATTCATCTTCAGCCACCTGGTGAGTTCAAGGCCAGCACCTGGCTGGTGAACAGCTCAGCTCAGGTCAGAAGAGTGTGCTTAGGTGTGGCAGCTGACAGTGGCTGCCCACCAGAGTCCACTGCCAGGACCACTGTTCAGTGGCCCTGCTCATTTCAACATGCGGGAATCCCCTCTAGCTTCTCAAAGCAGCAAATGTTGCCATAGGGCCTGTCTGTCATAGGCCCTGGAATAGAGGCACCACCTGGGGAATTAGGAAAAAGGACCATACTGGGCTTCTCAGTGACCCTCCTTGGTTCTTACATTAAAATGCCTGTCCCCGATGATTGAGCTGTAGCCTAGATTCATATACTGAGGGAGAGCTCCTCATGAGGAGAATCCTGCTGGGAATACATCAGGTACCACCATGTCCAGCCTACTTTCTCCCGAGTCTCATGGAGAGTTAGCAGTCATGTCCAAAGCCACGGTGAACCTGCTGTGGATGCACCTTCATCTTGGACTTCAGCTCTCAGAGTACAAGGAATTCAAGGCTAGATGCATTCCGCAGGTCCTGCTTTCTGCTCTGGCAGCCCCCAAGGGCCTATGTGAGGCCACGATCCTCTCTGCACACACCCCTAGTCTTTTCCTCTATTACCCAGCCCCACTCCCTGTTATAGTTCCACCAATGCTGGGGTCACAGGTCACTTCCAGAGGGACTAACTTGCAGAGCTGTCCTGTCTCGCTTCAAACTCCTCCTCTCTCCACGTATATTCATGTAACATCATGTAAACATCTCTTTGTTGTTCACACTTCGCTTAGTTCAACTTGTTCATGAGACTACTGGGTATAAAATTTAAACTAGATAGTTTATTATACACTTCTGTTGAATTTGTACTTGAGTCAACTTAATTAAGGTAGAAATGTAAGGTACAGGTTGCGTCCCTTATCCAAAATGCTTACGATGGAAGGAAGTGTGTCCAATCTAAAGGTGATTTTTTGTTGTTCAATAAGAACAAGTTATTGAATACTCTGACAAAGAGCACTGAACTGGGCCGCTTTTTAGAGTTTGGAAGATCTGCTGCTGATCTAAAACAAAATGTCTTAAAGATATGACCTAAGTCTAGACACGAACACACACAGCCCACAGGTAACCATACACAATGTTCTTAATACACCTGTGTTTTGACTGGGACCCGCATGAAGCTCAGGAGAGAACTCTGTCATGCTCATGCTCCCAGCTCCAGGCTGGGCTGTGAACACTCACCTGGGTCCCCTCCTCAGCCTATTTCTGCACAGCTGAGGGGCCAAAGCTTCTGCTGTACAATTTGTCACATGCTGGCCTGAAGGTGGAGCATGTGTGGGAAACCGCGTGGCAGTGAACAGGGGCCTGAGCTCTGCTTTCCAAGAATGTTTTCAAAAGCTTTTATTTTAGACACACAGTTGACATGAATGCCAGCAGTCATTGTGTCAGAAGATCACACTGACGCTCTCACTGACCATTTCCTCCTCTTGGCAGAAGTACAGCTCACAAGGTCTCGGAGACGGAAAACACATCCTTCTCTCTATGTCCATTTGTGGCAGTGAGTCCTTTTGACTGTCATGTGGAACTGGATTTTCCACAACCGCTTCATGATTACTAAAGTTTTGCAGTGACTGGTTTTCCTATGGGTGTTTTACATCCTAAGATAAAGAAACAGCTCATGAGATAATAGCAGTCTTGCTTGTTGCTACAGCTCTGTTGTAAGGCTGTGGTCCACTCTGCAAGGCAGGCTGCAAATGCTGAGACCCCCACTGATCATGCAGCTGGCTCCTCTTTATTCTACTGACCATTACAAAGCCAGTGGCTGCCTTTTCGAGGTGTTCCTCTTTCTCAGCCTACAGCATCCAGAGGGCTCTTAGCTCCACTCTGTACCAGACAGTGTGTGATTAAAGAATCCACCACACATCCTCACCCAGAGTATCCCAGACTTCAGAGGGACAGTAAACATCACCGCAGATGCGTAAAACTGAGACAGGATTGCTCTGAGTTTGAACCCGCTCTGGGCTACAGAGTGAGTATAGTGAGGGCTAGATCAACCGGGCATCCAGTATAAGACCTTGCCTCAGAAAACAAAAATAAGGCCAGGTATGATAGCATACACCTTTAGTCCCAGCACAAGGAGGAAGGGGCAGAGCAGAGGCAGGCAGATCTCTGTGAGCCTGAGGCTGGCCTAGTCTACATAGTGAGTTTGAGGCCAGGCAGGGCTACATAAAGATACCCTGGCTCTAAAACAAACGAACAAACAAGGAGTGACAGCTCAGTGGTTAGGGACACTTGTTGCACTTACAGAAATTTAACAGCTCCTTGGTTCTCAGGAATCCAATGCCCTCTTCTGGCCTCTGTGGATACTGCACACGTGTGGTATATATACACACATGCAGGTAAAAATATCCACACAGATAAAATAAAATCTTTTATTAAAAAAGGAAAAACGAAAGTCAGAGGCAGAACAGAGTCAACCCACACACACAGCTGCACACCAAGGACTGCATGCTGGTCCAGATGAGGCCTGGGCAGCTGACTGTGCTGGAAAGCACTGTCCACTTTGCATTCTCTTGCTGAACACTTTGCTACACCTTTTTTTCTTTCCCTTTTGGCCTTTAAAAGTCTGTTCTTTAAAAACTGTAAGCAGTGTATAGCATTGTGATACCCTTACCATTTGAAAATCTTTTTTCTCAGTTCTTTCCAACCCCCACATCTGTTTGTCCCCTCCCCCCCCCTTTTCCCTCCTCTACCCTGTTTGTTTTGTTTTTTAAGACAGGGTCTTGACCTGGAGGGCCTGGTACTCACTATGTAGCCCAAAGCTGGCCTTATACTCACGGCAGTCCTCCTGCCTCTTCTCCCAAGTGCTGTGATTGGCACGTTTCCTCAAGGAAACTCTGGCTTATACTCAGCTTGTTTATATTAGAATCTACAGCTGCTCCTTCTGATAAGCCTACTCATGCCGCAGCATATGCTAGTGTCTGCACAGCAGGAAAATGGGTCTGCGTCCACGATAGCGGCACTTACCAAGCATTTCTTCTAATTTGCTTGTGGCAGACTCGTTCACACTAAACACGACGCTATTATCTCTAAAGAGAAGGAAAGCTGGGTTACTTACTGTGTGGACAGACAGCCACTCACCACAACCTCTTCCTGACTCTACGTTCTGTCACGGGATGTTATGGGCTTGCTTTTCTTCCTTCAGGCCTGGGGACCAAATCCAGGTCCTCACACATGCTAGGCCAGTGCTCTACCACAGCCCCAGGCAAAACCACAGCTCCAGTATGAAGCAGGTGAAAGGCTTCTTGGATACATAACTATGAGAGTTTGGCTTCAAGATAGTGGTTCATTCAGGAGATGCTATAGCAGTGGTTCTCAACCTGTGGGTAGCGCCCCTGGAGGCAGAGTGGGAGGTGGTATTGAGTGACTCTTTCATGGGGTCCGAATATCAGATATTTGCATCACCACTCACAGCAGTAGCAAAATGACAGTTATGAAGTAGCACCAAAATAATTTATGGTTGGAGTCAGCACGAAATGAGGAACTATTAAAGGGGCGCAGCATTAGGAAGGTTGAGAACCACTGCTCTACACACACACACACACACACACACACACACACACACCACTCACACACCTTCCTTCTGATCACATAAGATACAACTGTGAGTTTGGCTTCCACTTTACCACTGGGATACTGATTCAGTTAGATCTGTTTCTCTCCATTCACACACGTGCATGCACACACCCACACACAGTACCCTACACTTTTTTCTCTAATTAACCTAGGAAATGCAGTCTGAGGTTAAACCAAAACTAGGCTAGGGTATGTTCTTAATTGTGTGACGTGCAGGTTCCCCGAAACTTGCACTGATCTAACCCTGAGGCAAGAGGAAAGGTGGCACAGCACTGTGTGTCCTCTGTCGCTGGGTCTCGGGTTTCAGTGTCACTCCTCCCCTTGTCCCCATTAGCACCTGGTACTTACACCTTCTTCTTTTCTACCACCCCCAGTCTCACGAAAGCTGCTAAGGCATTTTTCTGCAGGTCAGAAGACAGTGCGTCATAACACTGAGAGGCACCTGCAAAGAGGAAGAGGGCGAACGATCACTCCTGTTCTCAGCTGAGAAGCAACCCCCCCCCCCCCAGAGATGTGACCAACCTCGATCCAGAAGCTGACTGGTGAACTTCCTAGCTGCAACCAAGTACTGTCTCTCAGTAAAGCAGTCCTCTTCTTCATGCAAGAGGTATTTGGAAAGTATCTGGTTTCACGAGGGAAAATGAAAGGAACACAGAGAAGAGGTAGCCAAACACAAGAGCATGGTGGCCACACTGCCCTCACTAACAACCACACCCTCCACAGCCTACTTCTAATCGTCAGCAGCTTTTACAACTAGAAAAGAACAGTTTGAAATGGCATTTGTTAAGAGCTGAATTTCTCATCTCAGCTGACTGCAAGAATCACTTCCAGTTTCACATCTTGGGTTGCCCAGGGAGAGAGGACCTACTGCTTTTGGCTGTCTTTCTTTCTGAATGCAGAGTGCAGGCTCAAGCACTGGCTGATTCCCAGTTTATCAAGTTCCCATCCCATGCTAGACTTTGTGGGAGGAGGTGGACAAGGTCACCTCTGGGATTACAGTCCCAGTTCCCACCGTCCACCCACCATCACAGTGCTCAAAGCCAGCCTATAAGACACAGATGCCTCTTCTGAAATGCCTGCACACCCCAGCATTTGCCTTTCAAATTCCCTCCCTTCCTCCCTCCCTAGAATCCTGCTGCAGTGCCTAAAGCCAGCTCTGTGTCCTCTTCTGGGTTGTCTGAACAGGACCTTGCTCTTGTTCTTCCAAAAAGCAGAATGAGTGTTCAGTGACATTAAAGCAGAAGGCACTTAGCACTATGTATCCACACCTAGCCATACGAAGAACACAGGAAAACAAAGCATGACTGTAATTCTGAGTGCAATCATGGGCTTACAGGGGTGCTACCCCCAGCTTATGACAGGCCCAGCTTGTCCCTGAGTAGACACGGAACTTATCTCTCTGGGACCACCATTCACCTGGCACACGATCACCCTTCACACCGGAAGTAATTTCAGGAAGAAAGTCTTATGATACTGATATTGGTGTGCACAGAATCTGCAACTTCACATACCTGGTATGAGTCCACAAAAGGTTTAAAGAGCCCTATGAGAAATTCTAACACAGCGCTCCCTTTGTCTGTGATGATGATGTCCTTCCCAGCCATCTGTATAGCCTCAGTTTTACACAGCAAGTAACAGCCTTCCTCAAAATCCTAGGGAGGGACAGGGGAGACCAACCACATACATATGACAGTCCGTGTACCCTCAACGTCACTAGTCCCACAGGTCCCAGAGCCACCTGACTATGAACTGAAGCTGGAAGCGTTTGTTCCAACACTCAAGTGCCGAAGCTCAAACATGTAAATAGACAGCGTTTGTGAAGCTGTAGCCCAGACAGACACACAGACAGATGCGCACACACATAGACACACTACAGATGTTCTTCACTTGACAATGCAACACTTTCTTAGATGTAATCGCAAATCCAGAAAATCCCCCAAGTGGAGTTAGATTCAAGCCCTGCCAGCCTCATCTCTCTCACCCTGAAACCTAGAGCACCGTCTGTCTGTCTGCCTTTGCCCACACCAGCAAACCCACAGACCACACGGCTGACCCACTGCCAGGCAGGACCACCACAGGCCCAGTCTCAAAGAAAACGTGCTGCTGTGCAGAGGCATGCTGGGGAGCCTCTCTGTCACTTCTGGAACGTGCACTATGGCATGCCTGCTCTGGGCGGTCAGAACTTACCCTGAGTGTGTTTTCTGGGAGGAAGATGAACTCATCTGAAAACACGTTGCGTAGGAAGGAAAAGCAACTGAAGACATCCTCTGGAAAGAACCCATTTCACAAAATTAAGGCATTGCTTTTGATCTTATAGCCCTTCAAATGTGTGTGTACGCAGGTAACAAGGAAATAAGTGAGTCCTTCAAGGAAGCTCAAGTCAACACAGTTTATCTGAAGGACAGACTACAGTCAGCAGAGTTTAAACAAGGCCTCAAATCCCTCAGTCTAGAAACAGGCATGATGCCACCACCTTTAGAAATTCCTCAGAAGAGGGACCTCCTTCTGAGTAGAGAAGGAAGGGGCTCATTTCCCAGCTTCCCCCATTCCCCTAGCTACCATTTCTTCACTGTCATCTAGCACTCTGTGAACACCCAGGTCAATCACCAATTATTCATGCACACACCAAGACCGACTTAAGGAGATTCTCTGGGGTGAAGCCGCATGACCCTCAGGTAGACATAACTCATTTCAACTCAGTGTGATCTAATACCAAGTACACTGTACAGTGATCGTGGTGGGGTCCCATCTGCCTCTGCTAGGGCTGTCCCAGCAGAAAACTGCAGCAGATCAGGAGCTGGGCAATGGTGTTCCCAATGCAGAGCCTCTCTAGGAATTGCAGGGCTCTCTGGACCTAATCACCCTTATATATAAAAGGCACAGCTAGTGTTAGTTTATTGTGTGTATATGTTTAAGGATACAAGTATGCCACAAACACGCATATGGGAAATCAGAGGGCAACTTTCAGGAATTGGTTCATGATTTCCACCTCATTGCAGACAGAGCCTCTCTTGATTGCTGCTAAGTTGAACACTCAAATATTGCTGGTTTGAAAGCTTAGGGGCAAGTCTCCTGTCTCACTTGTAGGAATGCTGGGCTTCATATACAGGTTACCTCACCTAGCCTTTAACATGAGTTCTAAGAATCTCAACTTGGAGGATGGAGAGATGGCTCAGAGGTTAAGAGTCCTGGCTGCCCTTCCAGAGGTCCTGAGTTCAATTCTCAGCAACCACATGGTGGTTCACAACCATCTATAATGAAATTTGGTGGTCTCTTCTGGTGTGTAGGCATACATGCCAGAACACTGTATACATTATAAATAAATAAATCTTTAAAAAAAAATCTCAACTCAGCAATCAAGCTTGCCTAACAAACCACTAAACCATCTTCCTAGTACAAAGGTATAGTGCAGATCAGGGAGTCACTAGGTCTTTCCAATTCTGAAGTTTTATTTTTCCTCTTAAAAATTTATTTTCATTTTATTCGTATGCATACATGTATATATGCCCTGTGTATGCAGGTGCCCACGGAGGGCAGAAGAGGGTGTTGGCACCCCTGGAACTATAGTTGTTGGCAGTGTTAAGCTGCCCAACACTGATGATGGGAACCTAACTTGGCTCCTCTGGAAGATCAGATACCCTCTTAACCACTGACCCATCTCTTTTGTTGTTGTTCTGAAACTATATTTTGCTACATAGGCCAGGCTGGTTCTAAACTCCTGGAAGCTACTCCTGCCTCAAACTTCTGAGTAGTCGGGGCTAAGCCACAAGTTGTTATACTTTCCAACTCTAGACCTGTAGGCTGGCAGGGCAGCATCCTTTATTAGAACAGAGGGGGCTTAACACTGCTCCCTTTCTGGCACTAGAGGGCCAGGCCTCTTTGGAAATTCAGGGCCATGCTCCTAAAAGTTACCTTTCCTGAACCCAGGTGTCATCTGCAAGGCTACAGCTACTAAGGAAGGACGGACAAAAACATTGAGCAGCTGGTTCTTGTAGGCCGAGCACATGAGGAAGGTGATGTGGTGGAGCACAACTCCTTTGACCATTTCTGAGCCTTCAAAGTCCACTTTTAGAACCACCCGGTCTTTGACAAGGCTGGCCAGGTTGGAGTGCAGAAGGATGCTGGATTGGACCACTTCCTCAGGAAGCTGGTTATCTACAGAGAGAGCAGCAGAGGAACTCAATGAGAAGGCAACGTCCAATTCCACCACGCTTCCCAGAACCTACGGGAAGTAAGTAAGTCAAAGCAGCAGACTTATATGATCAAACATACCTTCCTTCTGTCCCAAACTGAAAAGCCAGCTAACATGCCCACACTATCTGTGGGTCACTCAATGCCAGCTCCTGTCCCACCACTCCTTCCTCATCCATGAGCTAAGCTCCACTCTGCCCTCACCTTCTGCAGATTGCCTATCAAAGCCACAACTCCAAATTCCCTGAGTACAAGTTCTTCCCCTAGGATTCTTAGCAACCCGTGTTGTGTCCACGGCACTCAGGTGTACTCCACTGACCCCAGCACTAGCTCCTACACCCAGTGCCCTACCCTACAGGAACCAGGGGTTATACTCTAGCTACAGGACCTGTGATTTTCAATTTACACTAATTACTGTCACAGGCTCCCGCCCCCAAACCACCAAGTTCACAACACAGTGAGTAACTCCAGTGACAGGTGTGTGTGTGTGTGCAAAGATCAAGGGACAACTTTTGGGAGTCAGCTCTTTTTTTTTATTTTTTAATAATTCATTTAACTTTATTTCATGTGCGTTGGTGTGAAGGTGTCAGATCCTCTGGGACTGGAGTTACAGACAGTTGTGAGCTGCCATATGGATGCTGGAATTTGAACCCGGATCCTCTGAAAGAAGAGCCAGTGCTCTTAACCTCTGAGCCATCTCTCCAGCCCCTTGGGAGTCAGCTCTTCTAACTTAGTTTTGAGACAAGCTCTCTCTACATTTTAAACAATATTTAAGTGTATGAGTATTTCACCAGCATATAAGCACACCACATGGGTGCAGTACCCAAGGAGGCTGGAAGAGAGTGACAGACGGTTGTAGGGTACCATCTGGGTGGTAGGAACTGAGCTGGATCCTCTGTGAGAGCAGCAAACGCTCTTAACCACTAACATCCTCCCAGCCCCAGGCTTCTCTTCTGGTCTCTTACTCTGCACTGTGCACTCCAAGTGCTCCTAAGTGCTGAGCGTCCTTCCCGCTGCCGGGCCCATAGCCCATTCTCCCGTCTCCTCCTCCTCTCATCTTGATGGTAAGCATGCTGGGATTACAGATGCACACAACCATGCCCAGTTGTTTACCTGGTTCTGTGGGTTGAATACAAGTTATCCAAGTTGTACCAATCTTGTGTGGCACACACCTATAGTCCCTGAACCTCCCTGGCCTTCCAGTGAAGTTTTTACTGAGCTACTGAGCTGTTCCTCTTCTTCTTCTTTTACTTTTTATTTTATTTATTTATTTTTTTTTTTTTTTTGAGACAGGGTCTTGTCATATAGCACTGGTTATCCTAGAACTTGAAAGCAGACTAGGCTGGCTGGAACTCACAGAGATCTGTTTGCCTGTCTTTCTGGAATGCTGAAATTAAGAGGTGTGCATGACTACGCCTACCTTTTTCATCTTCTTCTTCTTTTTTTAATTAAAAGACAAGGTTTTTCTGTGTAGCCCTGGCTGTTCTAGAACTCACAGAGATCTGCTTGCCTCTTTCTCTCAAGTGCTGGAGATTAAAGGCATGTACCACCACCGCCCAGTTCTTTTTTTTTTTTTTTTTTTAAATAAAGATGTGGTCTCATGTAGTCATGGTTGCCCTTGGACTCTTGATCTCCTGAGTGTTGAGACGACAGGCATGCACCACCATGCTTGCTCACTGAACTAGTATCAGAGAGTTAGAGAAAGCCCTTAGCTGCATACCAGAAGCAACCAGGCTACAAACACAATAAGATAAAGAGGACTGAGGATGCAGCTCAGTGTATAGAACATACACAAGGCCTTAGGTTCAATTCCCTGTACTGAAACAAAACCAAAGCTGGGGCTGAATGGTTCAATGAGTAAGGCTCGTGCCTCTACTCAGTAAACGTCAGCTCAATCCCTGGAACACAGATAAAAGTGACAGGAAAGAACTGACTCCGCAAGGTTGTACTCTGACCTCAACACCTCCCATTCCCCAGCAATAATTTTAGAAGCAACTAACTACATTGTAGCAAACTGTACACTTGCTGGGTATGCATATGATCCCAATACAGGAGAACTGTTCCAAGTTTGAGATGAGTCTGGGCTATACAGTGAGTTCCAGGTCAGCCTGAGCTATACAATGAGACCCTGCCTCAAAAAAAAAAAAAAAAAAAAAAAAAAAATTTGAGGCTTTGAAGATGGCTTAGTCAGTAAAGTAGAACATGCATTTGATTCCTAGAATCCACATAAAAGTCAGAAGAAGCAAAACACACCTGTATTCCCAGCTGAGGCTGGAGGGGAGGCAAGGATAAAAAGATCTTCAGGCTTGCTGGCTGGCAGTCTAGTCAAACCTGCCAGCTGTAGTAATGACATCTTTATGCTCTTTGGATTCTTTTTTTTTTTTTTGGGAGGGGGCTGTCACGCAGTTCCCAAATGAATCACACGAGGCTTATTCTTAGTTACAGACGTCCGGCTTTAGCTTGGCTGTTCTTGCCCACTTCATTCATTCATACTATCCTGTCTACCCTCTGCCTCTGTGCATCCCTGTTCTCTTACTTCTTTAAATCTGACTCTCACTCCGTGGATGGCTGTGTAGCTGTGTAGCTGGCCCTGACGTCCTCCTCTTTATCAGGCTACAACTCCTCCGAACCCCTACTCCCAGTTTTCTCCTTCTATATAATCTTGCTGCCTGCCAACCCCGCCTGTCCTTTCTCCTGCCTCACTATTGACCGTTCAGAGCTTTATTAGGCCAACAGGTGTCTGAGACAGATAAAGTATCGCAGCTCCAGAGTTAAACAATTGCAATGTATAACAATAGTAGCACACCTCCAAACAATATTCCCAACAGCCAGCTCCACAGTCAGCAGAAGACCGGGTCTCAAAAAAATGAAGCAAAAGTGAAAACACCTGTTGTCAATCTCTGGTCTGCAGCTGCCAAGGAAATGGCACTGTGGTCCTGGAGGCTTAGTCTCAAGAGTGAACCAACACACAGCAATTACTCTCAAGCAGACCCCTCCCTGGGCTTCAAATTAGGAAATGCAAAGGCTACTCTGTGAAAGACATGTATCCCATATACTTACCAGGCCAAAGCAGGAACCCTCCAAACACCTGGGTCAAGCCCTTTAGCCACAGTGTCTTCTCCACCAGGGTGTCAAAGTCCATGGATAACTGGTTTTGAAGGAGAATGGCAACTACCAGAAGCCATGGGTTCAGAACCAGGTTTTCAATTTGCAGAAGCTGTATCCTATAGGCGACTTCAGTGACAAAGGCGTGCACATCCTCGGACTGTTTCTGAGGGATGTATCTGAAAGGAGGGCACAGAGGTTACAGGTCAGCTATCGGGTGGGAGAGGGCCCCACTGGAAGGTGTGCCAGGCTCCTGCCAGCCGTACTCAGACCACACACTGGCAGCACTCCCTAGCTTGTATGCAGTGGAAATTAAACAAAAACATTAACTCTCAGTTCTAGGTAATTAGAAAAACAAAAACAAAAGCCCCTCTCTTTTTTTATAAACAGAACACATCAGTGCTACAAGCACAGCTGCTTGGACAGGGGTCTGTACTGCAAGAGCCACGTGGTCACCACTTACACTGTCCCTCCTGGGAAGCTGCAGACCTCGGAGAACTAGCCCATTAGCACCTGACAGCCGGCTGCAAAAGATGTCAGCAGGGGTTCCACAAGCAGCTAAGGAAGAAGGTCGTTCAAGGGGAAGGTGACAGCAGCACCAGAATAACTGGCCAGGGCTCTGTGGAGTGCATGGCTAACATCTGCTGGAGTTACAGTTGAGACTGCTGACCAGACGCCTCACTGCTGGGGAGCTGCTGGAGCTGCCAAGCATTTGAGGGCTACTGGGAAGAGGGTGTGTCTGCCCAACTCCCCAGGGGACTCCTCTAAGTAAACACAAGGCTTGGGATGGTGGGAGGGCTCAGTGGGTAAAGTGACAACCTGCATGTACCCACAAACATACAAAATTAAGTCAACTAATCTAATTGAAAGAATAATACAAATGCTCAGCTGTGCCCTGAACCCTTAGAGAACCTGGTGCGTCTGAAAACAGGGTGCTATCCTGCTCACTGCTACTCTGGACTCCTTCCTAGGGCCTAAAGCAGTGCTCCAGACACATCAGCTGGCCTGTGGTCGTGTCCACAGTCCCTGTGCATGAGCTTCTTCTTCTATTTATTTATTTATTTATTTTGGTTTTTCGAGACAGGGTTTCTCTGTGGTTTTGGAGCCCCCTGGAATTAGCTCTTGTAGACCTGGCTGGTCTCGAACTCCCAGAGATCTGCCTGCCTCTGCCTACCAAGTGCTGGGATTAAAGGCGTGCGCCACCACCACCCGGCTGCACGAGCTTCTTAACAATGGTGCTGTTTCTCCCCACTGTGAGGTCGGACCCCAAGGAGGTGCAGCAGACAGTTCTTTGGGTTTGTTTGCTATTCATGTAAACCAGGCTGGTCTCAAACTTGCTATGTAGCTGAAGATAACCATCAATTCCTGATCCTCCTGCCTCCATCTCTTGAGAGCTGGTATTATAGACATGCCCCACCACGTTGGCTTCGAACATGAGGTTCTTTAACTGCAGTGCTCCACTGATGAACATGGAATGCCAGAGCTTCCCTAGCGGTTTGCTAGCAGAGCTCAGGTAAGCCAAGGTTTGGGCTCAGAGGCCGTCAACTTAAGAGTCCTGATTCACACTTGTGGGTTTTCCTTCTCATTTCTGTGTCAGGTATTAAAACACAGGCCTTGCACCTTGGCACCAGGTTATATGTGCTCCGACTGAGCCGTCCCGCAGCTAGAGAGCGCAGTGACACAGGGTCTCCAAAGTAGACATGGATGCTTCCAAAGTTCTCAGAGAGAATCCGTCGAGCTTTCAACAACCCCTGGTGGCATCACAAGAGGGAGAAAGAAAACAGGAGCACATTTGTAAATGAGTGGATGTGTAAGCCAGGTATTCTCTACCCTCAAAGAAAACCAAGTTGCCTCGCCTCACTTACAGTGGTTGATTCCTTTGGCTTAGGAATTCCTAGAAGCTCACAGGCATACAGAGTCTCTTCCAATATTTTATCATAACTGATGCTAATGGGAACAAAGTAGGTATCAAAAACTTCTCTTTTAAAAAATGGTTCCATCACAATATTCAGAAGACCTGTGAACACAGGGAGAAATTCTGTACCATGATAGCGAAGAGCAGGGTACACAAGGCTCATACACAACCCATCAGCCTCCCTCCTTCCTTCTGCACTGTACCTACAGCCTCCACCCGCAGGGTTTAGAAGGCGAATCCTAAACCTGTCCTCAACATCTGCCATTCTTGGACAAGAATAAAAAATCTGTCACTGCCCAGCTGGTACTCAGTCTTGTTACTGATCCCACAATGAAAGGAGAAATAATCCATTCAGGAAGTCAGACCAGCAACAGACACAGCCAGCCTTCCAAAATCACACTCACACGACCTGAGCTTCTGCCTCTTACTAACTCACCCCAGCCAAACAGAGCACCGGGCATGGCAGTTCACACTCATCATCTCAGCACGCAGGAAGCTGAGGCAGGAGGATGGCAGCAAATGTGAGGCCAGCTGAAGCTACACAGTGTGTTCCAGGCCAGCATGGGCCACTCAGTGAGAAACAAATCAAATCATATATGTATACATATTAAGATTACAACCACAATCCATGTTTCCAAGCGAGTCCCCAAACTCCCTTAGTGATGACAGCAGGGTCTGCTCTTGCTATACGTACCCAGTGCTTTGGTTCTCTAGGCTTCTGCCTTTCCCATCCCCAGCCAGAACAAAAAGGACATCCAAAGTCCAAAACCAGCTAAACTTAAGGAAACAGCTCTATTTACAAAGAAAACAGCATCCTGTCAAAGAAGTATCTAGTTCTATTTGGTAGTTACAGTGACACCACATCTGAGGTCTGGGGTTAATATGCTTCTAATACATAAGGGACCTACCAAATTTAGGAGTCAAGGTCTTGGCTGAGCGACTCCTTGTCCCTTCGAGGAAAAATTCAACAGGAGCATAACCATTCTTTAAAAGAGAACACAACAGATACATAACCCATTGTCTACGCTCAGAATAACACAGGCCTCCTTTGTGTCCTGCCCCGCTCCCACCCCTGTGTGTGCTCTGGGACTGAACCTACGACCTCTCATGCCACTAAACCACATCCCAGCCTAAGAAAGGGCTTCTTCTGATGCCTGATCCCAAGTGCCCTCTGTCCTTTAAACAAACACCTGCTCACAGCAACTTAAACAAGGCCGCCTCTCAGATGAGGGACCACTGGGAGTGGGTGTGCTCCTTGAAGGGGAAAGACAGCTAGGGATCTATTCAGAAGCGAAGAGCCAGACAGCTTTGTGGCTCCAGGTCCCTGAGTGCCTGCATTTACCCGTAGCATGGTCTTCACATATTCGGAGAACACAGCCCAGTACAGTTTATTTCCACCAAAGGTGCGCCGCATGAAGAAGGCCCCAGACATTCTGAGTAGCTCACCGACCAATTTCATTCCCAGGAAATCTAAAACACAAGGAAGAGGTAAGATGGGAACAAAGATCTAGATGTAAACACTGTTGAGAAGTTCATGAATAAGACATGAGCCCCATGACAGCAGTAGTTACACTTGTGAGATTAACTCCAGAAAAAGAGCAGAAAGGTGCTGGGGAGATGGCTCAGTGGGAAGCCCTGCAAGCACCGAGGACTTGACTATAAGTCCCAGCACTGATGTGCCAAGCAGAGCATGGCAGCATACACTGGGTATGGAGGCAGTGACAAGATCTCTACAAGTAACTGGCCAGTTGGTCTAGCCGAATCAGTGCGCTCCAGGTTCAGTGAAACCCTGTCTCTAAAAATAAGGTTACCAATAGAAGAAGACACTCAATGTCAACCTCTGGCCCATATCCCCCCCATTCCAATGGCAACCTCTGCATCCTCCCCTACATGCTTATACATGCTCATACATGCACTCACGAGCACATCCATGCATGTGTATCCTCACACATGTACACACATGCATACAATACATCCACACAAAAATAAAAATGAAAACAAAGAAGTCTGCTGGGCAGTTATCTTGTACCTCTCTTGTTACCATGCTATTTATAAGCCACCAGGGACAAAGGCAATGCCAGCAGCATGACAACAATGTCAGAAGGCCAGTATCCACGGCCATGCTCTGAAACTGGTGCGTGGCATGTGCTCTCATACTCTGGAGCACCGGCTCTCCACTACCAAGTGAAAATATCAACCTACTTTTAAGGAAATGGCTTACAAAGCAGGTCTACAAAAAGGCAAAGGTCCTCCAGTAGTTTAACTAGTTTTCATTTTCCCTAGTTTTCAAATCACTTCCTCGCTGTCTGCTGAGAAGAAAGCACTTTTTAAGGCATGCAAGTCTCCATAGCTTTAACCTGACTGATTCACTACATTTATTAACACTGGAATCCCTACTTTCCTAGAGACTGTGAAAGGAACCAGTGCAGTACAGACTCTATGGATGAATTCTATAAAAGCATGGACACACATCTACAGAGCAGTGTGGTTTAGAGCAACAGCGCTTATCCAGTACACAACCACAGTGTCAGTTATATGAGACATGAACTCTGTATCAGTACAAAAATCAACCACGTGGCTGAAAGAACCAAGTGGAGGTATCAAATTATAAAACTCTCAGTTGGGTATCAGAGAAAAATTTCATGACACCGAATTTGGTAATGACTTCTTGGTTGACACTAAATACGCAGGGAATAAATGAACACACAGATTCCTTGGACTCTATTGAAACACAACTTTTGTGCACCAAAGGATACAGTCAGCAGGATGGCAGGGGGACCAGTGAATGGAGATGAGCTGGCCAATCCTGTATCTATGGGCAAGTGTTCAGGCCACAGAGGACTCCCACAGTTCACTGACAAAAAGGTAACAACCTAAAAGACATCTCCATAGGGACCAGATGCACCTACATCTGGAAAGCTGAGGCAGGAGAATCACTAGAGCTGAGAAATGCAAGACCAGTCAGGGCAATATAGATCCCATCTCAAAATTCAAACAACCCTCCTCAAATAAAACACCCCAGTGATGGTTTAAAGCACATGAACGGGAACTCAGCATCACTGAGAAATGAACCATGCCACACCCATGGAGATGGTGACTACTGAAGAAACAAAAGGTTGTGCATGGCAAGTCCTGGGGGAGACATGGATCTCACTTCTGTGCACTACTGCTGAGAACACAGACCAGTGTAGACACAAGAGAAAACAGTATAGTGGGACTCAGAAAAGCTCCCACATGACCCAGCGATGTACTGATTGAGGGATCAGATATTTGTACTCTTCAGTTGTCTGCTGTCCACTTGACAGAAGCTAGAGTTTTCTGGGAAGAGGATTCTGAATTGAAAAACCGTTACCATCAGATTGCTGTGTGCAAATCTGTAGGCCATTTTCTTGATTAACGATTTATGTGGGAGGGCCCAACGCATCATGGACAGTGCTACTCCAGGGCTGGTGGTCATGGGTTCTATTGAGGAAGCAGCACCCCTCCACGGCCACTGCACCAGCTCCTGCCTCCAGGTCCATGCCCTGACTCCCATGCTTCTTCGTGGGTATGGCACGGTTTGTTATGGTTTTGATGTGCTCTCTCTATTGCTGCTTCTCACAGTGACAGACTGTGATGTGGAAGCAGAAGCAGAATATACCCTGTCCTCCCCAGGTTTATGATCACGGTGTTATTAACAGCTTAGAAGACCTGATTAATACACATATCCCGTGTTCATAGCAGTTGCTGAAACAGCATTTACAGTAGGGGGCTTGCCTAGCATGCCTAAAGTCTTAGGTTCTAGTCCCAGCGCCAAAATACAAAAAGAAATATTTTTAAATCCCACATTCCTAACACTGTGTCCTAGCCAGTTTGACACAAGCTAGAATCATCTGAAAGGAAGGAACCTCAACTGAAAAAATGCCTCCATAAGGTTCAGTTGCAGGGCATTTTCTTAATTAGTTATTAATGTGCGAAGCCCTGGCCCATTGTGGGCTGGTGGTCCTGTGATGGGGAAAACCTTGTTAGCCAATTATCTTTAAGAGGTGGAGCCCAGGTAAGGCGTGCATGCTCGCGCGCTCTCTCTCTCTCTCTCTCTCTCTCTCTCTCTCTCTCTCTCTCTCTCTCTCTCTGCACACAGGACACTGCTGTGCTTGGATTTGTTTCTTGTTTCATGAGTTTTCCCCTTATAATAAATAAAAATATAATTGTTGTATCCTTTAGCTAGCCTGGTTATTTCAACAGTCCTGGTTTCTATAAGAAAGCAGGCTGAGCAAAGACAGGGGAGCAAGCCAGTAAGCAGCACCCCTCCATCAGCTCCTGCCACCAAGTTCCTGGCCTTGTTTGAGTTCCTTCCCTTGGAGCTTTTTATAATGAACTGCTACATGAAGTGTGAACAAAATAAACCATTCTTCCCCAGCTTGTTTTTGTTTCATCACAGCAATAGTAAGCCTAACTAAGACACAGTGTTACCTAAAATAACCAAGGGACAGAAGCAGATAGTGTCCATGGACAGGTTACAGGACAAAATTAATGTGGCACGTCCATACAACAGATGGTTACTCAACCTTGAAAGGGAAGGGAATTCAGACAAGCCACAACACTGAGGTCACCATGCTAAGTGAGATTGGTCAGTCAGAGGAGGGTGTATACTGCAATTAAGTGTATGAAGTATGCAGAGTGTGTGGCTGCAGGGGCAGGGGTGGAACCGTGGCTGCCTCTGGGAGGAGAAAAGCAAAGCACAGTTACTGGTTAGTAAGTGTCGGTTCTGCAAGATGTGAAGGGATCTGGGGCAAACGGGAACAACACAGCTGCAACAATATGAATGCACTCAGTGCCTCTTAAATTGCACACTTAAACAAGTCAGGACTTCATGTTATATGTATTTTACCAAAACTGATGATCTTTTTTGAAAGCCGTATCTATTTGTGATCTAGAATGATCACTAGAACTATATATTTTCAAAATTTAAAAAGCAGGAAATATGACAAAGTGGGATGGCCTCTCTTTTCAAAACTAAGCCAAAGAATCCCATGTGCACAGATGCCTCTCCATGTCTGCTCAGTCACGGGACTCACAGTGCAGGGTCCAGACTGGCACCCAGAAGAGCTGTCGTTGGTACCCTTCACATTCGTTAGTCCTCTTACTATCATTCTAGTGGATGGGAAGGCCGACATAAACACGGATGAAGACTATGCACGCACCCATTCCCGCTGCAATAACTGGCACAGGTAGATCATAGTTGTAGAGAACAAAAGACAGCATGAGGAAGTCAATGTAGCTCCGATGACTGGGCAGCAGGACTACAGGGTGCTCCTGGACAGCTCGTTGTAGCTTGAAAAAAAATGTCAGATTTTCAAGAATTTCAGTTGTCATGTCACTAAAATCACAGCTTAAATCAGAAAACAGAAAGGTAAATCATGGCTGAGCATGGTGGCTCACACCCGCAATCCTAGAACCTGAGAGGCTGAGGTAGTGCCTGCTTGTTAGCTTGGTATTTGGGATATCTGGGAAATGAAGGCAGAAGGATCAGAAATTCAAGGTCATCCCTGGCTACTCAAGGTCATACTCAAGGTCAGTATGAGCTAACGATCCTATCAATAAATAAGTCAAATAAATAAAGATATCTAAGGAAGCAGGGAAGCAAGAATATAACTGGGGCCAGTGATGAACTGGCAGTAAGCTCCTATTACCACATGAGTGATAACCCAGTTAACGGACCTTGACCACCATATCCTAAGAAAACATCTGTGCATGGGAAAATCACACAGCATAGTAGAAGATGATAATGGAAATGTGGAAGAGGAATCTGAACAAACACAAAGATTCCTTCTATTATTATTGTAACCGTGAACATGTCACACTCAAGTGGTCTCCAAGTCTTACTTGACTAAGTGTGAAGTCTGACATTAAAAGGACTAGCTGCAGACAGCATGCCCAGGGGCCCACAGTGGATGTCTGACAACCCGCCCTCAGCATTCAGTCCGAGTAAATCGATGATAGCACAGGAAGGGGACAAGAATATCTGTACTAGCAATCTCACCTTTTGAATGCCTTCTTCATTCACACACACCTTTGAGAAAATCTGTTTAAAGACTTTGCTCAGGACAAAGGCAAAGAAGCGGATGGCTCCCATGCGCAGTCTGTGGCTCATTTCCTCCAGGATCTCCCTGGCTTCCTCTCGGAGGGCATCGGCAGATGTGAGGGACTCCCTGGAAAGCTGAAAGGAAGGCAGAGCAGGGGTGAATTCTGAAAAACAGAAACCAGAGCTCCTTTCACTCAAACCAATGTGATTAATTCCAACCCGGGCCTATGACTAACTCAGAAGACAGTGTGTACTCTTGATTAGATCTGACCCAACTCACTAACACAGTAGATAAGTGATGTTATATTATTCTTTTTCCTGCTTTAGGCAAAGTTTCTCTACAAAGCACAGGCTGGCCTTGAATTCATTATCCACCCACCTCCGTCTACTGACTGCCAGGACTAAAGGGGTACACCACTGTGTTCAGTGAAAAATGATTCTATTTAAGCAGGTTTAAAGGCTAGAAATTCAAAGAGAACCCACACGGCTCCTGAGAAATGGCAACCAAGGTAGACCTCCTCTGGCCTGTACATGCACACATGCGCTGTTGGACTCTAGCATCCAAACACTGAGAAGGAGTCGCCCCCAGAGACCATCTCACACACCACAGCCAATGCAAAAGCATGAGGATTTTATTAATTCTGTCATGACAGGGTCCCCCAGCATTCGGGAAGCCGAGGGACCTCGAATAGCTGGTACAGTCTACTTTTAAAGGGGCAACAGAAGCAGGGGGGTTGTTCTTTGACTATTCTGATTGGCTTATTTGAAAGGGCTATTATCAATAATTGACTGGAGAGCTGTTGCCAGATCAGATGAGGTAAGAGGTCATTTTGACCCTGTTTCCCAGGGGACTGAACCAAAGCATACGTATATGGGTAATTGTTCAGGAACTGAGTACGTGCGAGTGTAGCTGTTAGGTCCTTGGTTCCCAGGGGATGAGGGGAAGCACTATGGCACAGAGGCTGAGAGGATTCAGAATTGTCAAAAATGGCTTCAGGATTGTCTTAAAGTCTTACAGCGCATACACACGTGTGTACACACACACTCTCGTGCCACATCCCTTATCTACTCCTTATCTGTCCTCAGTTTTACAGCCCAGGAAGGAAGTGCTGGCTAACTATCACCTCTTACAATGCTCCTTTACTCAACAGGTTATCTCAAACAGTGACTCAGCAAACAAAGAGCCTAACACTAACCAAAGTCACCTAAGGATGAAATAAACAGGAGGCAGAGAAGAGAGGAAAGAAGCCAGAGTAACACCTACAAAGGTGTGAATGACAATAGGGAGGTGAAAGTTCAAGCAAAAAAAAAAAAAAACAATGCAAACCAAAGTAACAAACACACAAACAAAAACAATTGCTTTTCTGGGCCAGGAGTGGTCAGTCAAGGCCCACCTGAGCTACAAAATGAGTTCTAGGCAAGCTTGAAAAGCTGGCTCATAAACAAAACCAACCAATCAAGGGAAAAAGAACAACAAAAAGTGGGGGGCTTACTTTTGGAGTTTGAAATCAGGAAGGGGAGGAGGATGGGGTAGACAGAAGAGAACGAGTAACAGCTGAGAAGAGCTGGGCCATGGCCCCAGCTGACCTGCGTCCGTCTCTGTGAACGGGCCCTGCATGCTCCTTCACTCCTCAGTTCACAGAGGTTTACTGAATGTTCACCAACAAGAGGCACTGGGACTATGGTCACAAGAAGGACAGCGTAGGCTCCAGATTACAGAAGCCAGCGTCACATACTGAAGAGGACTGGGGTCAGTGACTAACCACAGGCATCTATGCCAACAATTTTGTAAGACTGCAATGGCACTGAAAACTTCCCATCACCCAGCGCCACCACAGCTCTCATGGAGTCATCGCTAACATTATTCAAGTGTGTGGCAACCCACAGAACCGCCAGCCTATAAAAGCACAACCCCAATAATTATGCCTAGCATGCAATGCTTCATGGTAAATAACCATAGTACTGGCATATGTACTTACTATGTATCATTCAAGCACACACCTACTTATATAAATACACTTATAAGAGTTACTATACCCCTTACCCCTTCTGTTTCTTTCTCTTTCTCTTCCTCTGCTCTTTTCTCTCCTCCCCTTCCCTTCCATAACCCACTAAATAAATATCCAACCTCACTCTGCAAAAAAAAAAAGTTACTATGTACACTAGTATTAAACTACACCCACCTATATATGAAGGAAAGTTACTTTAAGTCAGGGTGGTGATGCATACCTGGAATCTCAGCACAGAGGAGGCTGAAACAAGAGGACTAAAGATCAATCTGAGCTACATGAGACGCTGTCTCAAAGTCTCTTCCCATGCACATTAAAAAAAAATGCATGCATGGGACTAGGGATGCCGCTCAGGTGTAGGGCATTTGCCTACTCTATCGTGAGGAGTCCTGGGTTCCATTCCTAGCATGGCAGAGAAAACAAATCAAAACAACACAAGCAGCAGTATGCTGCTTCTCTAGGAACACACTCAGACATCAAATATTTAATCAGGACAGACAGAATCCTTTTCTTTCTTGCTGATTTAATCTTGTGTTTTGTTCGACGGATCAAGAAGCAATAGGCTCTACCATATATGCATACTACCTAACCGAGGCACGTGCAGACTGTGCGCCCAGGTGTCATGTAAGGATCCTGTGGTGTTACCACAGGATGATGCTTATCTGAGAACACAGCCATGGCTGACTGGAGTTAACTTATTGCAAAAATGCCTTGGGTACTCTACAGTCCCGTTCCTAAGTGCTAACTAAAGGAGAAACTTGTCTTCCATCATGAAATAGGCCTAACCACAGAGAGCTGATAGCATCTCTGTGATGTTAGAGGCCAACCAAAGCACAGGGATTAAGGGCATGGGTCAAAGTACACATCTAAAGTTAAAACCAGAACAGTACTCCTGCACCCAATCTGCACAGCACACTCCATCTGAGCATCTAAGGGCATGGCACTGTGGAGACAATACCTAGTCCTTCCCTGTGGCTTCCAAGCCCCTGTTGAGCCCACTCACCCAAGGAGCTCGCTGCATTTCCCACACTTTCTGCCTCTGTTGTCAGACTGAACCACTTTCAGCATTCTCTTGGACCTCCTGCTCTGAAAACAAGCCATGGCTCCCAAACCGTGAGCTTCTTGAAAAGCTACTGCTACAGGATCCCGATCCCAACAAAATGAAGCAACTGACACAGGCAAAGCCAGGCATGGGAATCCTCGGAGCTTCTCAGGATGTGTTCACATGGAGGGCTGGTGTGATCTGTTCAACTGAGAACTCTCTCCACCCCCTTCACTAGGAAGACCTGGAGTTTCTGTCAGTAGGTGTTAAAAAACAAAACCTTCCCTACTCCCTACACCAAACTAGCTTTGCTCATAACTAACTAGCACCCTCCAATTGTGGGCTCGTCACCAGTAAGTTGCGTCTCATACTTTACTAAGCTGTTGACGCCATGCTACTCCCGGGCTGGCCTTTCAGTCTTAACACAATGACAGCATACATTTGAGTGTTATGGAGTTAAACCTAAAAGTGTATTTGAGATAATAAAGTAAGTTCAGGGAAACAAGAAGGACCCACTTCCAGTGGAGGAGGCTGGCTGTGCCTGAAGAACGATGTTCTTACCTGCTTGATGACATAGTGCATCTCTTCAGAATTGAGAACGATGGACTTGATATCACTTGGCTTGCAGGGGATGACTCCCCTGTACAAGGGGGGTGTGTAGCACTTCATGGCAAATTTCAAGTCACTGCCATGCCTCCTCTCCTCTAAGATATCTTCAAATTCATCCCACTTTTTGAGCTCTTTCTGTGAAGAAGGAAAGAGAAGAAAGTGAGGAGCACCTATGGGGAGAGGGCAGATTGCTCAGGTTTCCCTCCACCCAAATGTTTGCCTCATGACACCCAAGCAAGAGTATTCTAAAACTAGAGTCCTAGACAGAGAAAAAACTGTCAATACCGCAATCAATAAGCCGATACTCAACTATTACATGGTTTATAAGCATTCCACCACTGACAGAGACCTCAGTCTACTGACCAGCATATTCTGATGGCTATCTTTGTAAACGCAGTACCACATTGACAAACCTGTTTGGTCTGCCTATACTTAGCTTAAAAAATATATATATATATAGATATATATCAAAACATGTATCAGAAGCCTCAAAGCCTGGCAGTGGTGGCACACTTTAATCCCAGCACTCAGGAGGCAGAGACAGGTGGACCTTTGTGAGTTTGAGGCCAGCCTAGTCTACAAGAGCTAGTTCAAGGACAGCCAGAGCTATTATTAGTTACCCAGAGAAACCCTGTCTCAAAAAAGCAAACAACAACAAAAGAAGCCTCAAACTAAGTTGGATGTGGCGGTGCAAGCCTCTACAGTCCTTGTCTTCCAGAGGTGGGAAACTATGTCATAAAAGAAGCAGTCTGTTCTACCTCATCACCTGCACTCAGTTCCTGTGGGCCCGGTTGGTCTCCATCCACCAAGCCCTCGCACGCGCTTCAGAGTCCAGGGTGTTCCTAGAATGGTGCTTCCTGATCAAGTCATGAGTAGTGCTAACGATAAGCGCTGTTCTCAGAGTCTGACATGCTCAAGAACAATCTCCATTCCAACCTCTGAGCAGCTGTCTTCCCCAGGCCATAGGAAACCAAGGCTCTGGGTCACCCGCCTCCTGGGAGGCCCTCAGCTTCCAAACAGCAGAGACATACTTGGCATCTGAGGCTCCTTACACCGACTGCTATACTCGTTTACGGCAACATGAAGCACTTTCAGCACTATAACCAGAAGTAGTTTCCTTATTTTGTTTATTTATACCTACAGAAATATGTGTACATCTTATTCAAAACAGGGGCCATGCCAATTATAATTTGCCTTTCTTTTGCTGGGTGGCAATGGCGCACGCCTTTAACCCCAGCATTTGGGAGGCAGAGGAAGGCGGATCTCTGTGAGTTCGAGGCCAGCCTGGTCTACAAGAGCTAGTTCCAGGACAGGCTCCAAAAGCTACAGAGAAACCCTGTCTCTAAAAGTCACCAAAAAAAAAAAAAAAAAAAAAAAAAAAACCAAAAACTTTTCTTCTTTATTTGTATCCCCAAATACTGATTTAAATAGCAAATACTGATTTAAAACATCTTAGTTGTTACATAATTACCATGTTTAATAATATCTTCAGTTTTTGAACTACCAAAGTGACTTGTACCCACTTGAAAAATTCAGAAAATGCAGGGAAAGTGCAAATAACAACAAAAATCTCAAACTATATGTATAATCCCCTAGTGTGAGACTCCTCTAAGGAATGCTTGTTCCTTAGAGGGACGTGTCTCTCCCATCAGACACACACTGAGACTGTCAACTTGATTTTTTTATATGTCATAAACACCCCCTTGCCGTAAATGTTTCCATTATTTCTGTCTTCCTCTAGTGTTATAGTCTTATGTGGAGCGCTCAGGTTGTATCTCACTCCTGGAATTATATGAAAAGGCACAACTGCTCTTAAATAGAACCACGGCATTTTTAGGGTGAGTCTTTGCTTTGGCTGGGCCAGTATTTCCTAGTCTTCTTTCCTGACCTCCAGGGAAATGTCCCCACATTGGTATTTAATCCAGGGCTCTCTCATCAACAGTAGAATAATTCCCAGCCTTCCTCCAGTGCAGTGGCTTTTAACCTGGGGGAGTGTTCCCCCTCAAAACTACAAATTATTTTTTCTTCCTCACAGGCCCAAGAGCTTACCTCCTGCAGCCCTTGTCTCCAGCCTCCCACAGCTGCTGGGCACACTCACCTATATTCCACTGGACTTTGTTGCTGGTGGATTTTTGTTGTTGTTTTGCTTTGTTTCCTCTCCTTTTGTCTTATTTGTGTGGGGGAGGGGAGAACTACAGATGAAATCTGTATGTTTTTAGCATACACACCAGGCAAATGCCCTACCACTGAGTCACTTCCATGGCCCTGCAGCAAGCTTAAAACACAATTCCATGTGCTCCCCAAATCTTGCACCTGATTCTCTTCTCCCATCATACATTCTGGATTCCCAACACTTCTCCAAACCTACCCCCTTCTGGGCTCGGCTCTAAGCCATCGTCGCTTTCCTGAAACCAGAACTGCTAACCGCCATCTCAGCTAACCTCTGGGCATCATCCCACCCAACCCCGCTATTGTGGCCTTTGAAAATGTACAGACCCTACCCCCAGCTAGGCTACCGGGCAGCTTATACTCATAATCTCAGTAGCCTCCTTGCCTAAATGTACCAAGTCAATCCTTCTGCCAGCCAATGGCAAACTTTTCAAAACACAGGTTATTCCTCACGTTTTAAAATACTTCAGCGAGCTCCTCAGAATAAGGCCAATCAAGATGGGTGGTGGAGGCGCACACCTTTAATCCCAGGGCAAGTGGATCCCTGTGAGTTCTAGGCCATCCTGGTCTACAGAGCGAGTGCCAGGACAGGCTCCAAAACTACACAGAGAAACCCTGTCCCAAACAAACAGAATAAAGCCAGTCACTTCCACAATCAGGTTAGATCTATTATGTCCACTGAGACCCTGTTCGCCCACTGCTTATGCCCTGGTGTAGGTGTGCTGGGCTGCCACGACCTTTGCTGGCATCCTCTGGTTATCTGTGGGTGGTCCCGTGGCTCTGCTATACCTGCTGCAGCATCAGCCTTCTGAGATGCTCTCAAGAACTCTCCATACAATCACTCACACCTTGCTCAGGACCTTCTCTGCCTGCTATTCACATCTAATACACATGTGCTCAAGCACCGTACCTGCATATCTATGAATGTTAACAACCCAAAGGCAGCACACGTCACTAGCATCTGGCCATGTTGCCAATTACAGCCATCCTAACATATCATAGGCTTTTGCGCATAAGGCTGGAAAACCTTCTTGAACTTTACAATTCTCATGAATAAAGTAACAGTTCAAACTTGGACTCAACAAACTACTGTTATATAAGGTAAGGGCAAGGGAGAGCTTGGAAACTTCCCTTTAGTGTTCTTAGGGGTAGAAAGAAGACAGCATCATTATCAGCAGGGCATATATATTTTGAGAAAGCTTGACAAGTAGGTTTGGCAATCACTACCCCTTAACTCCCATTATTCTCTAGTTCCTGTAAAGCTAAACCCATGCCTTTTAACCATCCCAAGAGAGCACGATCCCTACCACTTGCCCCTCCTGTGCAAAGAATTGCAGCATGCAGGAGCAGCACTTACTGCCAGCAAGTAAGTACATTGGAATGGCTTCTCACCCAAGAACACAGTGCAAGTGAGAATCCAATAGGAAGGTCAGGCTGAAGCACGCCACCACCTCAGGTTGCACCTTGGGCCCTCCCACAACCTCCCTCTCCACTGCTTTCCTTCAGCAAGAGGCCCAAGGGTTCTCTATACACCAGGCCTCTTGCTACAGACTGGAATCCAGCAGTGACAGGGCAAGCAGACACTATCCAGAGAAAAGCATGCCCTTCTACACAGACCAACAAGATCAGGTCACTGAGTGAGTCCACTGGCAGGCAGGATGCTGTCAGTGACCTGCACTGGAGCCCAGGCTTTGGCACTCTGTGGCACTCTACTCCACCAGGCCAGAGCACATAGAATAACCAAGAGGCACAGCAGCATGAGATGATACAAGAGTGTGTGCCACCTTCCCCTAAGAGGACAACTTCCAAACAGAGAGAACAGTAAGGTTTAGTAAATAACTGGGAAATGCTGCTTGGTAATACTTATTTTTATTTTGCATAAACTGTATTTAAGTATAAATTTATGTGACTTAACCCTCAGTTTTCATTAATGACTACATTTTACCAATGGGCTAACAAATGCCATGAATGTTTAACAATCAGTTCTGGCCAGCCAGGACAAGGACTGCTGTGATCCACCACTGAATGAGCTCAGAAGACAAAACAGGTGTTAACGAGGAAGTACTTTATACTGAGTGGTTCATGAAATGTTTGATTTGGGTCTTTGATATTAAAAAGAGTCAGCAATACAAAGTTCTGCCACACAGAAGGGACTGTGAGCATTTTGAAGAGACAACACACTTCCATCCTGAGAAATACAAAGTCAGAGGTCCAGTAAGCAGGACTAAACTGGTAAAAACCAGAGCAGGAGCAACTGGCAGATCATTTGGAGTCTGAGTTGAGATACCCTAAGTATGGACCCTATACTGGAACTCTCTCATGCACACACCAAGTCTCAGAGGAAGAGTGCACTTCTAGCTTCAGATACAGCCTACCTGCCCCTGACTTGCCAAATCCACATTCTCAATCCCACCCTCCTCTTTTGCTTGGGGACCACATTCCTAACTCTACTCAGAAGCCTACCAAACATTTAGGATGTATCTGGTCCAGACCATGGTAATCCACAGCTGACAAGTTTGCATCCCAGACCGAAACTGCTCTGTACCTGACTAAACCTGCTCCTCCCCTGTCCTTCCTATCTTTGAGAGATCAGCCTCTGCCCAGTTGCCAAACCACGGGAACCCAACAGCCTACTTCATACTGCCCCCACTTTCCCAGGTCCTAGACACAACTGGTTCCCAGGGCCAAGGATCTCCTGCCCAAAGTATCACATAAAGCCATCATGCTCCGTGCTTCCCAGCCTCGCTGGGCTTCACCCCCTCACCCACATTGGCCGTTTGTCCTAACTGATCTCCACGCTTATGAATCACACATCTACCCCACCCTGAGTTTCTTTCTTCTTATAATCTTCAGAGAGAAAGATATTACTAATGCAGATAATCACGCCAGAGCCTAATGGTTTTCTTAGACTTTCTAGAGCACAAATACAGAGAAGATTTAATCCTTGATGAAAGTCACCAATGCCCAGAACACCCATGATGTGCTTTGTTTCTTTTCAGAAACACCTACTGATACCAGGATACCCAAGATACCATTTGTTTCTTTTAGGAAACACCTTTTACTTATGTTCTTAATTTTGTCTTATGTTTTCTTCATCATTCTGCATTCAGCCTCCCCACACAAGCAAGGCAGTGACTTTCTTACATTGTTACTTCAGCGATTCCCACCTCCCAGTATTCATACTACAGAAACTCAGTTTTGGTGTTGTTTTGAGATACCTTCTCAAGTCCCCAAATAAACCAGATGCCCCTTCCCTTGACTCCAACAGCATTCAATGCATGCTTTAATCACTACCCTAATTTATCCCACTTAACTGGACTACCTGTGCACACTGACCACTTCGGGTGTCCTGAGAGGCCAGGCAGTCTTTGGCACGAGAACAGCAACTGGGGGATTTCAGGCACTGCTGATCATTAGCAATATCGTGATGTCACTACAGAACTACCAATTGGACAGAAAGCAGTGCACAATGAACAGGGTGGTGGAAGAAGCTGGCAGTCTGAAGGAGGCTCTCATGATCATCAGCTGTGTGGGCACAACATCAGCCAGGAGGCGACCGAACCAGGCAGTGGTGGCACCAAAGGGAAAGGGGCAGGGGACACTCATGGCCAGCTGCCTTGTTACTCACATGGAAAGTTGACAAAAATCTCATGATTAAAAAAAATATATAGATGAAATAAGAACCACCTCCTTTTTATTAACCTGCAAGGGAAATCCCAACCCCCACACACATTGAAAGGCCAAAAAACGTCTTGAGTTGGATCTACACAACAATCCCCTTTCCCAACACACCTGCTTTGGAATAACAAGCTGTAAAACGGTGACGGATTTCCCACCAGAGAACTGTGTGGTGAAGTCAACCATAAGCTTTAAGGCAGCAGTTAACAGCAAACATAAAGGTAAAGTTCTTTTTTTTTAAAAAAAAAATTATTTTTGTTCGCACTGGTGTTTTGCCTGAATGTATGTCTATGTAAGGATGTAACACTTGTGAGCTGCCATGTGGATGCTGGGAACTGAACCTGCGTCCTTTACAGGAGCAGCCAGTGCTCAAAACCCAAGCCATCTCTCCAGCCCCAAACTTCTTAAGAGACAGTGAAAGAAGTTTGCCCACATTCCAAAAGATATCCTACTCTTTTGGAGCCTGTCCTGGAACTAGCTCTGTAGACCAGGCTGGTCTCGAACTCACAAAGATCCGCCTGCCTCTGCCTCCCGAGTGCTGGGATTAAAGGCGTGTGCCACCACCGCCCAGCTAAGATATCCTACTCTTAAGGTAGCATTATTCTCCTAGAAATCAGGAGGTTTGTTTGCTTTGCTCTTACATGTTTTTTTTTTTCCACTTTTGACATTTCTACACAAGCTAACACTACACTATACCGGACTTAAATCAGAAAGTGGTGCTAACTACCATGCCATGGAAATATCCTTTTCAAAACATGACTTGCCAAGGGTGGTGGTGTAGATCTGCAACCCTGGCTCTCTGGAGGTTAGGGAGAACTGCAAGGTGCAGGACAGCCTGGGGGCTTCATAGCCACTGCCAATCCAGAGTACAAACCACAAAGATTGCTTCAAAAGTAAACTATTAAAAATAAATTTCCCCGGAGCTGGAGCGATGGCTCCAAGAAATAAGAGCCATTTTTTCCCTAGTACCCACATGGCAGGTCACAGCAACTTTAACTCGGTTTCCAGAACTGGCCTCTGCCGCACCAGACACCACCAAGGGCAAATACAAACATGCAAGTAAACACACATACACATAAAAATAAATTGTCCCCCTGCATTGTACAATCTCACGGGACGAAGGAGTACAAAGCTTCCGCCTTGATAATGAATATTGTAAGCTCATGAATATTGCAAGCGACCAACATTCTGTTGGAAACCAAACCAAGCAAACCACCAGTTCAAACCAGAAGAGGAAGTAATTCTGCATGGGGGGTGTCGAGGCAAGTAGGGGTGAAGCCACTGGCAATGGGAGACCTATTCAACAACTTGGGTAAAAAAATAGAATAGAAGACAGTAATTTCCAGAAGCTCCAAGTCATCCTAAATTAGAGTGTTAAAAACTCTACTCGCATATTCTAGCCGGATATTTTTCTCCCAAAAAATACTTCAGAAGAAAAAAAAGGCGGGAGGTGGAGAGACAAGTCTTCTCGGGCTAGGTCTTCTCAACCGGCAGAAGTCGGCCGATCCGCCCTCGATGGACGGGGGAGCCTGCAAGTCTTCCCTCGTGCTGGTGTGCTGGGCTCCAGGCCTGAGAGGGGAAAGGGACAGAGGAGCCACCACCGACAGGAACTTGGAAAAGCAGACACGTTTACCCAGACGCAGACACATGGTTGCTGTGGATACCAAGCCAAGTACCCAAGTCCTGCACAGAGGGGCGTCAGGACCCGCTCTCTAAGACAGAGGCTGGGGGAGGAGGGTTACAGGGCTCAGGAGGGGCTGTCCTTTCCCGAGTTGTCCCCCCGGGCCTCGGTTCCCAGAGGCGCCTACCGCGTAGACGAGCACAGCGCCGGGGCTGGCCGAGCCGACCGAGAAGCGGGAGCTGGAAGAGCTAGGAACATCCATGGTGTGGCTGCCGTCCCGGGCGGGGCCTGGGCTTGTCTACTACGCGGCTGTGGAGCAGCGGCTGGGGGCGGTTCTTTCGAACGGGGCGGCTCCAAGCCGCCCAGGGCGGTGGCACTCAGGACGGCCACCGCACGGGACCCCGGGCGCCGCCATCTTAGCAGGACGGAGGCCGCGCAGGGCCTCCCGCGGAGCACGCGCAGGAGCGCCGGAAGCGGAAGTGCCTCCTTGTGGGCTGGATTTGAAGATCCGTGCAGATGCCCATGGCTGCGGCGGCGGAACGAGAATCGGACTCCGCAGAGCCTCCTGGCTCTGAGACACTCCTGGATGAGGTGCTGCGGAACCTCTACGACCTGGGTGAGCTTGGCTCCCGGGAGGAGACGGCTGAGGACAGCGGATCGCATTCCAGCCGCGGCAGGACCGCGGGCTACCCGGAACCGGTTCGGGTCACCCGATCTCCTAGCGCCACGCCGGCCCGCCTTACCCCTGCGGCGCCTCCCTCTCTGAGACCTTCTCACCCACATCTTGGTCGACCTTTCGCTCTCTCTCGCTGTGTGGGAAAGAAAAATCGAGGCGTATTACTGAAGACAGGCAGCTGTCTGTCACTTTGGCAAAAGGACAGACACTCGCAGGCTGAAGAGCCCACATGCAGATTGCCTGACACGTTGCAAACTGTATTACATTTATTTTGGAGTTGTTGCTCGAAATTCTAAGTTCGCTTACATGGTTAAAAAAATAGCTTAGAAGGTGGAAAAACGTACCAGGTGTACATGCTGTTGTTGTGCGTTCCCCCATTAACTGTCAGAGCAACCCTTATATATATTAGTTACAGAGAAACAAGCACCACAGGCTAACGGAGCTTGTTAAACGTTACATTTCAGAGCTCGGATCTAAAGGCTTAGGGCCTAATAACATAGTTTGCGCCGCGTTGACTTGTCCTGTGTAGGTTCTCTTGTGTCCACGGAGTGGAGGACGGACAGCTCTTGGCCTCGACTTTTACTAGTTTTATGACTAAAATTTAAAATCCTCAATATGGGGCTGGAGAGATGGCTCAGAGGTTAAGAGCATTGTCTGCTCTTCCAAAGGTCCTGAGTTCAATTCCCAGCAACCACATGGTGGCTCACAACCATCTGTAACGAGGTCTGGTGCCCTCTTCTGGCCTGCAGGCATATACACAGACAGAATATTGTATACATAATAAATAAATAAATATTTAAAAAATAAATAAAATCCTCAATATGACTTATGGCCACATCTGCTGGGATTCATTGTTAGTTGCGCCAGTGTTCCGGACTCATTTTTATATCCATACTACCAGAGTCAGATTGGCTCCAAGTACACATTTAGTGAGTACATAGCTGGTGTTTAGAGAGCTCTTGTGCACATAGGTCAGTAACGAGGCCTAGACTTCTGGTTCAAATTTCAGGTCTCTATTGAAAGACTGAGCAGAGGAAACAAACAGAAGATGAGAAATTTAGTAGAAAGTAGCGGTATTTAAATTAAGGCAGTTTTCCTGGATTCTCTTGAATTCGTAGCGGAAAGAAAGCAGGAAGCCTGGGGCAGGTACTTGTAACCCTGTAATATGATAAACAGAAATACTGATGTAGAGCCAGGTGTTTTTAATATAGCAGCTGGGCAAATGGCAGGTCGCAGGCCTGGGAACCACAGCTGGAATGTCACTAGATGAGCAGCAAGTGTGAGGACAAGAGCAATTGTTTTCATACAAGTCAGAGGTGCACAGCTACCTAGGCGAGAAAGAGCATTTTGATGTCTAAAAATGGTGCAAAAGCAATTTACTTGAAGAAAAACAATTTGTATCTTTTAAGTTGTGTTTTTACTTTTCAAGTTATATTTATTTATGTATTTGTCACTGCACCATGGTGAAATAAGGAAACACTTTATGGGAGTCAGCTCTCTGCTTCCACCATGTGGGTCCTGGGGATCAAACCTCCCCAAGCGGTTTGTTTCTTTCTTTGTGCAGATGGGTGCTTGTGTCTGGGCCAGATGCACAGTAACATTCATTTGGTATTGGTGTTAACTAAAACCAAAATCGTTTTTACATTATTTTTTTTTCTTATGTTGAAACAAACAGGAGAGACCGAAGGTGAAACAGAGCCTAAAAGGATCAAGAAGAAGAGAGAAAAGAAGAGAGACGTGGAGACCACAGCAGAGGTTACAGCAGCGCCACTCCCCCTGCCTGGATCTCTCGTAAAGGGCCAGAGGAAGAGTGCTTCCAGCTTTTTCAAGGAACTCAGAGAAGAGCTACACTCTGCTTCCGCTGCCCCCTCAGCTCCCCCTTCAGGAGCAGAAGTCCCTGCTGCTAATGTGGTGTCGCTCTCTGCCCCAGAGAACAACAGCAGGCTCGTGGAAGTGGTGGAGTTTCAGAGCAGAAGTAAAAGAAAACCAAAACCAGATCAAGATGAGCATGCAAAGGTCTGTACCTGTGTGATCAGGTTACCATTAGACAGTAACAGAATTGGAGAACTAGAGAAAGGAAAAGACTATTTTGGAAATAGTCCAGCTGTCTGGCCCCACCTAAGCCCTAAAAATGACCTTTCCGCCCAAAGTCTAGGCCCAGGCCGTAAATTCCACAGTGAGGCTGTGTTGTGCGTCGTCTCGGGCTTTTGGGTTTCTCTGGGAACGTGGTTTTAGTGCTGCTCTACTCCATTGTCTGCAGCTGCAAGTGCACTCCGCACGCTTCCTTGCTTTAGTACAGCGAGCACGGGCTCTGTTCACAGGACACTCAGGCCAGCGAGTCTCCATTCCACAGTTACTGTGTGCCTGCTGCCTGGCTCCCTGGAGACCAGCAGTGGAACATGTGGGTGCTGTGTTGTCCCTGTGGTTATGAAGTTATAAAGGTAAACAAGCGGTGCTGAGAGGAGCAGGCAGAGCCTGCTCTGGGTGGAGTGGTCAGGGGGGGTAAAGCCCTGAGCAGGTCAGGCTCGTATTAAATGGTACTCAGGGGAAGAGGAGAGCCGCGCAAGCAGAAGAAACAGCTTTGCCAACCCCCTTAGGTGCAAGGTGCCTGACTGGTTCCAAGAGCTGGAAGACTAGCAGAAGTAGGACAAGGGGACAGTGGCATGAGATGACGCACAGAAGCGGGGGAAGCCAGCCCTTCCCAGGTCTTAGAGGCAGCTGTAGGATTCTGTACTTTAAAATCCATGAAGACAGCCCGGTGTGATGCCTTATGCCGATCGTGCCCAAACTCAGGAGGATTTCCTTGAAGTCAATCTAGTCTTGCTTCACAGCCAGTCCTAGGCCAGTCTCAGCTACATGATGAGGTCTTCAGTCAGTACAAAACATAGCAAAGATCAATTAAGTATGTGGGGAGCTATGACAGCATTCCCATCGGAGGCAGGAGGTCATCTGCTTCTTGTTTGCAGTGAGTTATAACCAACAGAGTGAGGGAGGGGTACCGCTCAGCGCTCTGGGTTTGAAATGGGGTAGCGTAGACAGACTTGGGGAGCAAATGAAAGAACCTGTGTCTTTTCTTTCTTTCTTTTTTTGGTTTTTCAAGACAGGGTTTCTCTGTAGCTTTGAAGCCTGTCCTGGAACTAGCTCTTGTAGACCAGGCTAGCCTCACAGAGATCCGCCTGCCTCTGCCTCCCGGGTGCCGGGATTAAAGGTGTGCACAACCTTTAACCTAAGAACCTGTTTCTTAATGGGAGTGCAGCTTTGTGAGAGGAAGGACACGCATTCAGCTGGCACTTGGCTCCTAGGGCAGTGTCAGTGGCCTTGTCCTCCTCACATCCCTCAAGCTGCTCAGTCTCCACTGTCGCTGCTCTGTGAATCTTAAATGCCTCAGTGGCCTAGCTAAAAAAGGGACGGAAGCAGGGTGTGGCTGTGCTCGCCTTCGATCCCGCCTTCAGGCAGATCTCTGTAAGTTCAAGAGGAGCCTGGGCTACATAAGAGACCCTGTTTCAGAACAAAAAGGTGGGGACAGAAAGCAGGAATGAAGGGTGAAGAGAAGGGGCCCTGTGTCCTCTCTCTATGCTCCGCTGTCAGTACTGCCTCTGCCGTTGCCATCGGTCCCCACAAGTTAGTGCTTGTTCCCGTCCACTGACCCCTTCTTGCCTCACTAACTCCTGATTCCTGCAAGTGTTTGCTACACAGAGGAGCCTGGTGCCTACTGAGGTGATGTGCTGGTCTGCAGTCACGTGCACTGCTTACCACACGTGCCACTCAGAGCATGTGAGCACAGCTTGACAGGGTTCGGTTTGGTTTAGCAGACAAACCTTATAAGGCCTTCAAAAATCACTGTCTGCCCTGTTTGGCATGACTTTTATTTGGTTTATTTCCCTGATGCTAGGGATGGAACAGGGAGGGCCCATGCACACAGGCAAGCCTCTCCCTCTGAGATACGCCTCAGCTGTCATGGAGGGTGTGCTGATGAGTTCTCAGTTCACTTGAAGGTCCTGTGCCTGTCAGTGTTCAGTATTGCAGTCAGAACCTGACCCAGACCATCCAGAGAAACGATTGTGGATCTGAAGCAAGCACCAGGCCAGGGTCCATCCAAGGCTCTCAGGCTTCCAGGCTGCTTGGGAGATAGAAAACAGATTTATTAGGTTCTGTGGCCTTTGTAAGACCAGTGGGAGGAGCCAGAGGATCACCAGACCTGAAGACACCTCCCCAGCTCATTGCCAAATAGCCACAGAGTGCTTACCCAGCTCACCCTCTTCATCCTGAGCTCCCTTGAAGTCAGGAAGAGAGTCATCTAGTTGAGGCACTTCACCCTGGTCCCTACTCTTTCCAAAACTACCTTCTTTTGAGAAAAAGAGTATTTACCTACCACACCCACTCTTAACTGGAGACCAGCTGGACATTTTAATAATTTTAAGTTTGTCCACCTAGATTTTTATTACATTTTATTTGTTTGTGCATGAGGTAGTGGGTACCATGGTGCATCTGTGTGGAGATCAGAGGACAACCTATAGGAGCCTGTTCTCTTCTCCCACCATGTTGGACCCAGGGAATAAACTCGGGTCATTAGGCTTTGTGGAAAGCACTGTTCCCCGGAGTCTAGTCACCTTAGTCCACCAGTGACATTTTCTTCTCTTGGGGGGGGGGGGGAGCACATACATACAGCTAGGCACACACATAAAATAAATAGCATTTCAAAACAAAAGCATGCTCTTCACCTCTTCTCTGCAAGCTCTAAAAATTTCGGCAGCATGTAGAATTGGTTTTTTCCAGCTTTTCTTTGTGATGAAATACTCAACAGTTTGGTACATAACTTATTACTGGTGAGCAGTTGTTGCCACCATTTTCCTCCTGCAGAGCTGCAGCTGTCCCCCTTCCTCTCCTCTTCTCTCTCTCTTAAATGGCAGTGCCCCTTCTGGAATGGGGTCACTTCTTGTACTTTGTGACTGGCTTGTATCACAGTGCCCTCCTCATCTATGATATGGCGTGTATCAGAATTCTGCTCTTTGGTTTATTTTGTGTGGCGTTGACTCATGTTTGCTAGATTAGCACTCTGCCGCTGAGCTACATCCCAGTCCAGAGACACCTCTCTTCAAGAAGCCGAACATGAACCACTTAGCCTGTTCATCTGTTGGTAGACATTTGGGTGCCCTTGTGTTTTAGCTGCTGCAAACACTGCCACTATGAACATCGGTGTACCTGCCAGGTAGAACTGCGCGATCATTTGCCCACTCTGCGTTTACTGTTCCTAGGAAGTGTCGCACGTTGTCCATAGCAGCCGTACCTTTAGCATTTTTGCCTACAGTCTATAAGGGCTCAGTTTCTTGACATCCTTTCCAACACTTATTTTCTTGGGGGGAGTTGATTTTTATTTTATACACATATGCACAGTTGTTGGGTTGTTTGTTTCAAGATAAGGTTTTATGATGTAGCCCAGGCTGGCCTCACACTTGTAGCCACTTCCCTGCCTCTTCTCAGATTACAGGTGTGGGCTGCCATACCTGGCTAACTGGTAGTTTCTAATAAGAATCTGTTTCCTTACAGGATAAAACAAGGGCCCTTGAAAAAGATGTGGGTATTCAAGAATTTAACCTAGAAAAGGTAAGCATTTTGAGGTAACTTATAGTTCCTTTTTAAGGTTTGCATTGTTGATCATGAACTGGCAGCTTTAACACAGCGCCAGCCTTCTGCAGAGTCTTGTCTCAAGGCTAGGGAAATGGTGACCCTAGTCTCAGGATGTTCACATGACTGACTGACTAGCACAGGGTTACAGCGCAATGGCCGTGATACAGTGGCAAGTCAGAAAGACGTGCATACTTCCACAGTGCAGCTGGTTTCTAAGATGTCTGACAAAAGGACAGGAGGAAGCCACTCAGCAACTTAGAGAACAGTTGTGTTTGACCTGCTGTGGTCAGCTCCTGTGTGTGGACAGCATGTTGGAGAGGCACTTTCATCTAAGTGGCTGCCTTTCTGAACTGGCTTGGTGGAGAGCATCCATTCACAGCACTGAGTGCTGCCTGAATCCCAATACTGTCACTAGTTCACGCAGAGATAATCATTGCTTCAGCTGTGGGATTAAACAAGGAGGGAACACTAAGAGCGCAGGGGTTCAAGAGCCTGCTGGTGCTTCCTCGGCCACGGCAGCACTGCAGGGTCCCAGCTGTGGGGCAGCGTGGCTGAGAGGCTGCTGCCTGGGGAGTTGTTGGCATGTGGGTCTGACTGTTGTGCACCAACAGGCTCGTTTGGAAGTACACCGCTTTGGGATCACGGGCTATGGCAAAGGAAAAGAGAGAGTCCTGGAACGGGAGCGAGCTATCGTGCTGGGGGCTAAGGTGAGGGGCTGCCTGCCATGGTCAGACCTGGGGGAAGGGGTAGCCCAGGGGCACTGGGACTGCCCTTTTCTTACTTGTAGGAGAAAAATGGATGGCGTGTCTTTATTCTTTCCTGTCAGGCTCCGAAAAGAAGTTACGTGAATTACAAGGTTTTACAGCAACAAATCAAAGAGAAAAGGAGAGCGCAGGAAGAAGAAGAGAGATTGGTGGGTGTCTGCTCTTTACTCTGCTAAGCGGGGGCTGGCTGTCTCATGGCTGCCTGCAGGCGGGCTTAGCTTGCCAAATAGTAGGGACACCAACATTGCCTAATGCCCCCTCTCAGCCCCCAGTTATATCAGCTGAGCTTCATCATGCCAGCTGAGGCATCTGGCCTGGTCATGGAGAAGGTGAGGCTGGCCTTGAGGCCAAAGGTCATTGCCACAGTGTCTGTTGAGTGCCCACCATGCGCCCAGCAGGTGCTGGTGCTCGACTATGGTTGTCCTGAGGGGTCATGACACTTGGGGTTTCTGACAGGGTCTCAGTGTGTAACCCAGGAACCCAGGCTGGCTTAGAATTGCCCTCCACTGCCTCTGTCGTCTGAGTACAGTCACGGGTGTACACTACCGGATCCTGATACCTGTCGCATTTCGTAACAAGTCAGAGTGAGACTTGTTGGCTTATGTTTACTAAACCCACTTGAAAATGTTAAAAAATGATGACATTTATGTGGCTTTTTGTCACAAACTTGCTGCCCTGTTGTGAATATTTACCATCCATTACTGCTTCATTGTCTTTGTTGCTGATGTAGGCCCGGGACACAGACATTTTCAAGAAAAAGAAGAGGAAAGTACATGAGGACAGGTGGGTAGTGGCCACAGATGCTGGGGCGTCCCTGACCAGGTCTGTGGTTGGTTCTCGTGGGCCTGTGCGTGAGTGCAGCATCCCAGCCCTCTAGTTACCTGCGTGGGCCTGTGAAGAGGTGATTAGGAAACTGCCCCAGCGATGCGTGAGAGTCTGAGCTCGCCATGGCTGGCCTAGTGTGCCGCACTCACAGTGGGGCTTCTTGATGGGAAATGGGGAAATGGTGGGAAAGGGCCTGGTACTTTCTTAGCTTCGGGTGAGGACTCCTCTCCTGGGTGCCGTGCTCCAGTCTGGGCTCTTCACCGTAGCACTGTCTTTGTCAATTGAGTGCCCACTCTGTGCCAGGTGAGTGATGTCACCCTGAGGGAGCCCTGTCCCTTGAGGGGTTATGGCAGCGAGGGAAGCCTCCAAATGTGAAAATACAAATTGGTGATGCCTGGTGCTAGTGAGTCCTGTAAAGAGGCTTCAGTCGAGCTTGGAGGGTTGAGCTGGAGGTCACTTCAGGGAGGTGACCATCTGTCAGGAACTGCGAGCAAAGAGGAAGGGTCACCCTGGAAGTAGTGTTCAGCACCTTGTGGAGCGAGAGACCAGTGCAGTTGTGGTAGGCCTGCACAAGAAGAGGAATCCACGCCTGCGGTCCTGCTTGCTCTAACTGCCTGGCACCCTTCTCTTATCTCTTACTGTCAACACAGGAGATCCAAGAAGTCTGCTCCCAGCATTTTGTCAAATGGAAAAGTTGGACAAGTTGGAAAATTCAGAAATGGAACATTGATTCTAAGCCACGCTGATATCAGGAAAATAAATTCTTCCAGAGTAGCAAAATGATGAACTTTGTCAGCTCCAGAGAGGAATAGGTACCGTGACAGCGCGGACACAGGACCACTGAACTGCAGACCGCACTTCATGTCCCTCGGGGTCTCTTCATGAGGAGCAAGACGGATAAACAGGGTGGTGACCTGCTGAGTGCGGGCCAGGCCCAGGCTCCACTCGGGTTTCTGGTTGCTAGTGTCAGCACACTTGGTTCCAGTCCTCCTTTTCATAGTTTCACTGTCTCCTGAGTGTTTGTGATTGCTGTTACAGTGCCTTTTGGACTTCTGATGACAGTGTTACTGTGTCATGAAAGAACTAAGAACTCTTGTCATCGTTCGGTTTTCTGGAAAAGCAGTCCTATTGTCAACCTGCTTTGTGTAAAATCCATTTTGTAAGAATTTTCAAAAATACACATCTGTTGTATGAGGGCTGGCTGTTGAGTAACACACGGCAGTTCTAACTGGTTTCCCATACCTCACAAGGCCATGTTTACAGTCATGTTACCCTACCTGGGTGTCAGCGTCTTCTAAGAGAGTGAGGTAAATTAAAGGGAGATCTCCAGTGAGGAAGGATTCTGGTACTTCCCACCTTAGGTGTTTGGCTCCTTGTCCAGTATGCGCTGTGATGTGGGTTTAGAGACCTTTAGGTCATGGCCAGCAGGTTGTCAGGTGGCTCCGAAAGTATCGCCAAACCAACTCATGAGGTGGAATCCAATTTGCTAGGTTTTTTAAATGACATTTTTAAAGTTTATTTTGTGTGTATGTTAGGGCACATGTGCCATGGTGTTTGTGTGGAAGTCATAGGCCCACTGAGCCACCTCACTCAGTTATTCATTTGTGTCTGTGCTGCACACTCGGGTTGTGTGCTGAGCATTGTGGCCTTATGGCGAGCATGAGGACAGTAGAGACTGGCATGTCAGCAGGTGACAGGGATACCAGGACATAGCTGGACAGGGGGATTCTTGGGGCTTGCCCAGCCAGGCTAGCTGAATTGGCAAGTGCTAGGCCCATAAACAACCTGACTCAAAAAAACAAGTGGAGGTTGACCTCTAGCCTGCACATATGTGCACGAATATGCACACATTCTCTCTCCCCACACACACACACACACACAATTTTTTTTAAATGAAACCATACCTTCATTGTGGAAAATGGTGCCTTATAATTTGAACCCACATCTTTACTTTGAGATTTGGGAACCCACAAAACTAAAACTGATGACCAGTGGTCAGCCAGGGCCAGTCTGTGGAAATGGGGAAGTGACCACAGACCACACCTGTCTTCCAGTTGTTGGCAGTGTCAAAAGAATTTATTTCAAATCTGTTTAAGAATGTGGTAAAACTCAAGTTTCCAAAAAGTAATACAGAAAGTTCAACCAACCCCCTAAAGACCAGAAAACACAGTGTTTGCAATTCAAAAAATACAAACGCTTGTGGATACCTATACAAAAATTAGAAAAAATTACGTTCCTTACCACTTCCCACCCCTCTATGTTTTCAGTGAAACATGAACAGCCACAGGACCAAGAGCTGCCACCAAATACCAACTATTGGGGACAGAATCAATGTGGTAGGGAGGGTGGAGAGAGAGGAAAGGCAGGAAAATGGGACCAAACAACAGTACACAGCTTTCTGTTTCTGTTAAATTCCTTTGCCAACATTATACAAACACCTCTCATGCTCAGTGCGCCGTGTAGTGCAAAGGCGGCGGTCTACGTCATGCATTCACGTTTGTCTACACCCCACTCTCTGCTGGTGCTGAGAAAGTGAGGGACTTAGGAAGTACAGTCTCTGGGGGTTTGGAGTTGGAAAGGCCACTACAGGCCACACAAGGAGCTCCATCAGCCATCCCAAGGCCTGTGTAGCATCTACTCAGAACTGCGCACAAAGGCTTGGTGCCCAGTGCCACCCTGCTGGCCCTCAAGCTCTGGGACCTTTCCCAGGGCTGGGTTGACAGCTGGGCCCTCCGTGAGCTGCACCACTTGAGGAAATCACCTCGCTTAGAGTCAAGTCCCACCCAGCTCCTTCCCCTGAATTCAGCACGATTCATGGGAAAGATCAGGCTCCCCGCCCTTCATAGCTTGTGCCACAAGTCCCAACCGCAGTCACCTGTCTGAAATCGACTTGTCACTAGCCATCCCAAGCTAGAGGTCCCAGTTCAGCTGTATGTCATAACACTCTCAGGTGTCTCCCAAAGCCACCCCCGCTGCTGGGTAAACAGATGTGAAAGGCCGTGGGTAGGGGGATTCCCTAAAGACCAGAACGGAAGGAACGGGGCAGAAGGCTGGCTAACATCTTTTCTTGGCTTAGGGGACACCGCATACAGATGCTTTTAGCACTCAAGAGAAGGTTGCTGACAGGTTTGGCCTGTTCAAGGCCCTGGCACGTCACACTGACCCAGGCTCTCCATTACTGGATGAGGTTGCTGTGGTCCCTTGAGTGTCTGAAATGCCAGGCGCTATGCGAAAAGACTTGCTTGGGTGGAAGACACTGTGGTTAGAGGACACGGTAAAGTCATCCAGGCTTGAGCCACCGAATGAGTCATTTAGCCTGGGCCTTGCTGATGAGTCTGTTCCATGATCCACACAGTACAGAGAGGAGGTAGTTGGCATGACCAGCCCTGTTTGCAGGAAGGGATACTGAGGCACGGAAACAAGCAGGATATTCACCTCATGCATGCCATGAGCCAACATCAAGGCCAGTTTAAGGGTAAGTGCTGAGAGATGCTCTACTTTCCCGTCCTGCCTCAAGCCCCCTCTTACCTTAGTTCACCTCTCCACCTCTTCAGGACCCCTTCAGACAAGAGCCGTACCAGGCTGTCACCAACAACTGGCTATTCCGGGGGTAACAGAGTCTGGACTTTGAACGTCTTCTAATAATATTTAACTCCTTGAGGGCCCCAAATCCATTAAGATGTCCCTGTTCCTTCCTGGAAAATGTGGCCAAGAAAAATGAAAGGAAGGAGCCTTTCTTTCCGAGAACAGAGGTGGGCTTGGCCACTATCTTCAGTGAGCAGAAATGAGAGCCCTTTTGTCCTCACATGCTTCATTGAAGATCTGTGGCGAATTCTTACTTGGGGTAACATGAGGCCAGTGGCTTTGGGACAGACCTCCTATGTGACACAGGAATGGGTACCAACACTATGAATGTCAACACCCAACAAATCAATATGACCCAGATCCAGGTCAGCCCCAAGGGGGCATCTGGATATGTCTGGGTATTTGGGATTGTCACACTAACTGGGGGTGCTCTTGGTATCATGAGGACCGAGACAAGGGGTGCTTAATGCTTTTCAGCACGCAGGCCCCACCCAAAATGTCAGCATTAAGCACCCCAGGGTCACTCCCACAGTTCTATGATGGTGTTCTTTACACTCCCATTATCGAGACTCCCCCGAATGATTTTATCCACTCTCTTCACAGCTCTGTAACAAGAGACCATAGGGGGTGGAGACAGCCTCATCAAGGGCAAACCCAGACCACCTGCCCTGAGGCACGCCTCCACTCAAGGAGCAAGCCTCTCAATCGCAGAATTAAGGCTGACATGCTGCCTCTGGGAAAGAAAATTCACGTGGGTGGACACTACACTCTGGCCTGACCTGAAAGGGCCAGGGAAGGGGTAGGCAACATGCGTGAGAGAAAGGACTCAGTAAGGTGGGCATCCCCATCTCTCTCCCCTCCTCCACAGAGCTCACCCTGTGTCAGGGCTCACCCTGGTAGCATATTGCTTCCTGGCTCTGGACCCCTGGGGCCTACAGAACCCTAAGAACATTTTTGGGATCACAGAGCACAGCGTGAGTGCCGAGGCCAGGCAGTTGTCTCCAGATAGGACAGAGGAGGAAAAGCCTGGGCTGGGGTCCTGCTGTCCCACTGTGAGGGAGGAGGAGATGGGGGGGGGTAGGTGCCAGTGGGTACTGTCAAGGACATTCATTTCAAAGGGATTGGCATTCCCTAGCCCACACAGAGAGCAGGCTCCAGGTGAATTTCTTCCTCAGACTTACCCTAAATTCCTACTCAGCGGCCAACCAAGGAAGGCCTCCCTTGATGTCATTGTCATACAGCAGTTATCTCAGCGTCAGCGCTAAGGACTCAAGGTCCTAAGACCCCATGACCTGTCTGTCTGTCACGTGCAATTCCAGGGCCTTGACACTGTGAGGAGTTAAGTTCCTTCGCTCTTTGATCACCTCAAACCCCCAAGTGCGTCGTAAGGCGCTGCCCTCCTCTCATCCATGCATTCTTGTCCCTGAAAGGCGACCTGTGCAGAAGGCAGGGGAGGTGGCTGTGCAGGGCTGCCCGGGTTGGCCCTGGCATCAGCGTATTGCTTCTGGACTCTAGTGAGCAAAGGGAGACATTTAGCACCCCCACTCATACTGCCGTGAGAGATGGGGAGCTGGATCTCCCTTGCTCAACTCCAGGGAACCTCCTTAAAGAGGTTAACTGAGTTGGGTGTGATGCTCACCTCTGTTAATCTCAGTACTCAGGAGGCTGAGGCAGGAGGATTGCTGTGAGTTCAAGGCCAGCCTGAGCTATACAGTGAATTCCAGGCCAGCCTGGGCTACAGTGTGGGACCATGTCTCAAACAAACTAAAATAAGAAGGAGGAAGAGTAAAAGGAGGAGGGGAGAGGGGGAAGAGGAGGAAGAGGAGGAAAGTGATCTCTGAGAGCGCTGGGGGCTCAGTGGTTGAGCATGTGCAAGACCAAGGCCATGGGTTGGATTTTCCAGCACCAGAAAAACAAGTCCCCTGGAATGGTGGCCATTTCCTTATCTCCTCAAAGCCACCCACAGCTCCAAAGTGATTTGGGTCTGCCCAAGTGACTCCCACTTCCCAGGCAGGGGCTTGACCCAGGCTTTGAAGACTGCGGGGCTCCCCCTGGCCAGCTTTTCTGTGTGTTCTTACTCCAGGGTCTCTGGGATCTTCTACCAGAGAGCCAGGCACCACAGAGAACCACCACCACCCCAACCATGGCCACATGTGACTGCCTGGGTCTTCACTTCGAAGCTCCTTTCCCTCCATCTGCTGGGGTCTTCCAGAACTGTGGCTGTGGGTCAACAGGACCAGCTGAGCAACTGAGGACATGGTAGCCAGGGTCCTGTGGGCTACCCTAAGGGCTTTAGATGGAGTTAAAGGCCACTGAGCCAGAGACCACTCAGCAGGAAGAGAATCCAAAGAAGTCAAAGCTACGCCTCTGCATTGAAGGTGACTCCAGGACCCAATGTGGAGGCTGGACAGCACTGAACTGCTCCTGGTGACGTCAGAGTATCTGAGGAAACAAGGGCCGTGAGCAAGAGCTCTGAGGTAGGACTGGAGGGTCTGTGCAGCCCAGCGGTGGGTACTTGGGAACAGGTGCAGGACCCGTGCACAAAGGAGGAGAGGAAGCACGGTTGGGGTGTCGTGCAGATGCATCCGATAAAAACCAGCCCAGCTGATGGACAAGTCATTCCTCTGTGTAAAACGAAATGCCTGATGAATTCTTTCCAAAGGATAGAGCAAGGTTACTGCCAGGCAGAGCAGGAGACTGCAGGACGCTGGAAGGGAGGACGCGGGGCCTGAAGGAGGGTGACTCCATGTGGACCTCACCAGCGAGAGCGGCGCTCCTCAGAAGAAGGAGAGCCTCCCTGCACCCCAGAGAACCATGGCTCATGTGGAAAGACAAGTTGTAAGGTGTCATCATCGAGTCTCAGCCTTTCTCCAGGCCTCGTTTGTCCCATTGTGACAGAGCCACCCATATTACCACCAGGGCTACTTCTCATGTTCATGATGCTTCCAGCAGGGCACCCGGGGAAGTCACAGGGGCTTTGACGTGAGGCCTTCCCAGGGTCTGCTGCTTCTGTGCTCAAGGCATAGCCCAGGAAGGAAGGCAGAGTAGATAGATTTCCATCAATGTCTGGGAAAGCAGGTTCTAGAAAAAGCCACCATTGTGCAAAGACATGTCACTGTCTTGGATTCCAGTGTTTCTGTTTGTAACTAAGAACGGAATGAATAAAATTTAACTGGTTATTACACACACCATGTATGTGTGTGTGTGTGTGTGTGTGTTGATAGCACATGGTTAATAATAAAGGCCTTAAGGAAGCCCTTCTGAAGGGTTCTGGTAGATTAATGTCCCTTCCCATTAGTCCTGAATTAGTTTGTAGTGTATTGTTGTAGTGTATTGAAGACTCCACATCCCGAAGGCTCAAGGTCAGCTTCTCCCAGCAGAGGTGACAAGCTGCCGGTTTGGCAGGAGCAGACTCCTAGAAACAGGTTTCACACTGGCGTGGAGTGACATCACAGCGCAGACTCGTCTTGGGATTCCCGTCCCAAAGTTAGCTTTCCTCTCTCCCTCCAGGAAAAAAAAGATCTAAGGGGAAATCAAACTTTCCAAACAATGTCGGACAACATCAGCCTGAAACCAAAGGCTTCCAGAGCGCTGTCTTGAGGGCACCCTGGGGACCATAAGCTCTGTGGCACAGAGGTGAGGGGTCACTCCTGACAGACATAGGCAGCCACAGTATGGCCTTGTTACTCACAGCGCCTTCACTCTCCATCCCCCCCAAAAAGCATCTTCAGACATTCGCTGGCTACTGGGACTTCCTGTTGTGCCCTTGTCCTCCATGAGGGCCTCCATGACAGCCAGCTAGGCAGCAGGAGCCACCAGGCTAGTTGCCTGCCAGCTTTGGCCGTCCGAGATTTGTTGGCACCTCCAGTCCCGTGTGCAGGGTGACCTGGAAAAGAAGATGAGACAGCAGGGACTGGCTCAGTGGCAGAGCGCTTGCATAGTGTACACAAGACCCTAGGTCCCATCCCTAACACGGAAGAAAGAGGGAGAGGAGGAAGAGGCAGGGGGCCGAGGAGATGGAGCAGAGCAAAGGGCAGGTGAGGCCGTCCACAGCACCAAACGCTGTGTGTCCACTGGAGAACTTGTGCATTGGGCTTTGTTACTCTCTTGTCCAGGTCACATTGCTAAGTCTGTGTCCCCCTGTGCATCTTTCTTCATCATAGGAGCTGCACTGATGGCCAGCTGGGTGCCCTGTTTGGCTAGCGCCATCAAGCCCTGCAGCAGAGGGAGTCTGGTTCTCACAGCCGAGTATTTAGCAGCACCTGTGTCTCCTCTAGTCACCTGACAGCTAATCTGTGCTCCTCAAATCCCTTTTCTTCTCTTTTTCTTTTAGTTTTTGTTTGTTTGTTCTTTTGAGACAGGGTTTCTCTGTGTAACAGCCCTAACTGTCCTGGAACTAGCCCTGTAGAATAGGCTAGCCTTAACTCTCAGAGATCTGCCTACCTCTGACTCCCACGTGCTGGGATTAAAGTCATACACCACCCTTTTTCAAGTAACCAATCAGCTGTTGGGCGGTAGACACAATGCAGGTCCCTACAATGATGGAGGAAGGTCATTGGCTAATAAAGAAACTGCCTTGGCCCATTTGATAAGCCAGCCCTTAGGTGAGCCGCCTGGCTAGCTTATGCCCCGAAATAACAACACACAAACTGTATTCATTTAAGCACTGCCTGACCCATTTCTATTAATGTGTGTAGCACCGAGGTGCGCTTACCGGGAAGATTCTAGCCCTACGTCCATCCTGGGCTGGAGCTTCATCGCGTCTGCCCCAGAGAGCAGAGCTAAGGCATATGAGCTCACTTCCTCTTCCTCCCAGCATTCTATTCTGTTTACTCCTCCCACCTAAAGGCTGGCCTATCAAATGGGCCAAGGCAGTTTCTTTATTAGCCAATGACCTTCCTCCATTATTACATGGCTCCGGGGATAGAAGGAATCTGTTAGAAATGAAGGGATGACTACCCCTGTCCTCTGACCTCTCGTTTGGCCTATGTCAGGAGCTCCTCTGCCATCTCATTCCCTTGGGACACTGAGCCCCTGCTTCTTCCTGGAACCCCCCAGAACCCATTTGCTCCAAGTTATCAAGTAGAAACCAAATGCAGTACTTAGGACCTCCTCCACGGATACTCAGAGAGGCTGGCATGCAGGCTGCCTATCTGGTGAACGAGGTGGCCAGTCTCATTACAGTGCTCATTGTTCAAGAAGCAGACACGTCGCAGGGACGGGGCAGGCAGCTGTGTTTCTGAGGATACCTGCACGTTTCGGTTGAGGCTGAGGGCAGGCATGAAGACCCCATCCACGTGGCTGAAGGCTGTGGGGCCCTGCTGCTGCCCATTGATGAAGAAGGTCAGTGTGTGCTTGTTCAGGTCCAGCAGCACGCCCACGGTCGCCCCCTTGCACACTCCGCCTTCAGTCCTGGGAAGACAAGCCAGGAAAACCTGTCACCATGCACAGCTCATGATGTCACAGTAACTGAGAGATGATTCTGGGAACACCCTCATCCAAAATCAGCCTCCAAGTGTGTGCATGCGCGTGTGCATGCATGTGTCCGTCCACATGTTTGTGCATGTGTGCGCGCGCATGTGTATGCATGTGTGTTCACATGTGTGTGCCCGTGTGTGTGCTTATGTGTGCATGTGTGTGTGCGTGCGTGTGTGTGTCAGACACAAGAGAAGACAGCCCTGAGGGACTAAAGCTGCTCAGTCCCTTCTTATCCATAGTGTCTGAGACTTGCATACCAGGGAATGAGAGTTTGGCAGCTGGATCCCTCCTGAAAAACCACAGGGCACCAAGTGTGAGCACAGAAGGGAAGTAACGAGGTCATCTTTCTGTGCTCGGTCCACACTGATACGGAGCTGGATGGAAATACAGGTACCACGTCCCAGAGACATTTTGAGAACATTCCCCTTCAGTTCACCTGCACAGAACCTTCCCAGGGGACCAGCAGCATGTGTGGGAAATGCGTGCTGAGTTGGGAATCAGGTCCCCTATTTGAGTCACCACTCCACAGGTGACTATGCTGGTTTTGGAGCACTTGACAAATGTTAGGACTAAGACATTGCTGGGATAGTAACAGTCTATCTTCAGGTGGGGAGGAACTTTAAGTAATGACCTGGAAGACTTCGCATGGAAGCCTCTGTGCCCTTCTGCAGACTTTCCCTCATTAACTAAGGGTTCCCTTAGCATCAACCTCATTCAGCCCTGGGAGGAAACTGTGAGTCCTTGGTTAGGACTGAGCCAGGGGCAGAGGTGAGGAGTCTTTAGAAGTTGTCTTTTCCTGACACGAGGTCTTTAGAAGGACCTGGTGGGCTGACTGGGAGGAGGATGCTTCTCACAAGGGCAGGTGTCCTGGAGGGATCTTAGGGCTCAGTGGAGAAGGGTCCCACAGAGGGAATCTCAAACTTGACAGTCGACGCATTTCTAATACTGAACACCAGGTGGCAGTAGTGACAAGTCTGCCCTGCCTGCTTTCTACACAGCCACCCCTAGGTCACGTCTAGAAGTCGTGCTTCCTCTGGGAGAAACATCACCAGCATTTGCCTCACACCTGTGACATGGGAGGTGTGCAAACAGGTGTAGTTCCTCCCTCTGCTGTCTTTGGACCCTCATGTTCCTTCTGGTCCTCTATGGGAAGCCAAGGGGCTGGCTGGCAAGGGCTCCAGGGCATTTGGGGACTATGATAGCCTATGCCCTGGAGATTGAGGGCTTCCTACCACAGGAGACTCCACTGATGTCCTCTCTAAATCCTAACAGCACCTGTTAGTCTCCCTAGGTCTGAGCAAAGTCCAGCCTGCCTAAATATGCCTCATTGTCTACAACAGAGATAGGGCTTTTGTGAGGAGGAAGGGCGCTCAGGTAGCCCCCTTGCACCCTATGGTATCAAGCAGAGTCAGCACCCGATGCATGCTTAAGGTTATTACTGCCCCATCACAGAGTGTGATGGAGTTGGTTGCTGTATTGGCTCCAGCACACAGACACGGAACTGGTAGGCCAGGGTGGTCTTGGTCCCCCCTGTGGGTTAGAGCTGGAGAGGTCAGCCTGTAGCACCCAGTAAGTCCACAGCACCTGGTCAGCCTGCATTGTCAGGTTGGCCTGCATCGCCTGGTCATCCTCAACCATGACCTGGTCAGCCTGTGCCATTTGGTTAGCCTTCAGCAGCTAGTCAGCAGCCTACATCACCTGGTCAACTTGCATCACCTGGTCAGCCTGTATCACTTGGTTAGCCTACATCACTTTATCTGTAGTACCTGGCCAGACTGCTTTGCTAGGTTAACCTGCAGTGCCTGGTCAGTTCCATAGTTCAGCTAGAGAGTCCAGGGATAGCCACTTCCCTTCCCATAAGCCTCTGGAGAGGAGGACATTACCGGTGAAAAGACAGTGGTCAAGTAGGGACCTAAGAGTCCTCAGGCAAGCTCCTGGCCAAACTAGACCTGACTTTCCTGGGGGAGGAGCTGGGTTACTCGCTGAAGAGAGCACATTGAGCTCTCTGTAAGAGCAAGAGGGGGGCCAAGAACACAAGCACCTCAGGGACAGACCAGCCCTGCCAGGACCCCAGCTCCTTGAGAGTGAAGCTTTTGACCTTTTCTCTAGGGCACTGGTAGGGTCATTCCAGGCAAACCACCAGCCATTCTAGGCAAACCATCAGCGTGGCAGAGACTTCTGTCCCCTCTGTGGGAAACAGCTCTCCCATGAGCTCTGGGCAGTGACTCAGGCTTAGCTTGGCGGTTGTAAAGAAAATTGGAGCAGGGCCGGTAAGATAACCACAAATTAAGCTCCCAGCTTAAAAGTCACTGTGAGGCCAGCTGGGAGGTGGAACACCTCTAGGCCAGAGCCGCTCCTGCCGTCAAGTGCTTTCAGTTTTGCCATAGGCAGATGGTTTACTTTTCCAAGTCATTGTCCAAGCCCCCTGGAACTAGAGTACAAAGTACCTCAAAAGCATCTCGTCTCCCGACACTTGGGGACAATCAAAGGGACCCGGTCTGCAAGCCACTCATTGCTAACCCCTGAGTCCCCGGAGGGCGGGGCGGGTGCGCACCTGTTGGTGTGTGAGTTACAGTGCATGAACCAGCTGCGGTTGTTGTCCACATACATGGCCCAGGCCTTGTCGTCCTTGCCCAGCATCATGTCCTTGACGACGCTGGCCCTGGCCACCCCGAAGGCAGGGTCTGGGTGGTTGTCATAGCGGTCCACGTGCAGCTCCCAGTAGTGCACACCTTTGGAGAACGCAGCTGTGCCTAGCACCACCCGGTCGTCATAGCTACTGCAGGTGGCTGTCTGGTTGTCATTAGATAAGATGATGTCCCGGTGACCAGAGTTGGGGTCAAAAGTGAACCAGGCCACTGGAAAGGAAGAAGTCAAAACGAACAAGGTCAAACAGTCTGTTCCTCTCCCTCCCTCCCCCCACCCTCACGCAGGCGCATGCGCATACAAATTTTGCTGTATAGCCAAGGTGACTAATAGATTCGTTTGCTGCTTTAGAGTTGATTTACTGTGACCAGTGGTCTTTGTGGGATGCACACACTCATAGAACAAGCCATGAGGAACAAGCCAGTAACCACTCCTCCATGGCTTCTGTTTCAGTTCCTGCCTCCAGGTTCCTGCCTTCAATTCCTGCCCTGAGTTCCCTCAGTGTTCGACTGTGACCTGAAACCTACCACAGAGTCTCTCTCCCCCTTTCTCCCCCTCTCCTTGCTCTGTGTTCCTCTAAGTTTCCATTCCGTTGATCCAGCATTGCTAAGGAGCTCAGACATGCAGGCCCCCTTGCCCCACCACCAGGGAGTACATTTCCTAAGCCCTGAGTCCCAGCCTCTCCCCAATGATGCAGGCTCCGTTAGAAGTGACAGAGGAAATGGCTACCCATGGCCCACCTTGTAGGGAGGAGACTGAAAGACAAAGAGGTGGCATGAGGTCACAAATCTCAAGTCCCATTAGAAGGTGGCACCCTCTTCTGCTCACCCCCTCCACCCCAGCCTGTGGGAAGTGTGGCCTTGCTCTGACAGCTGACCTCCAGCTAAGGACTGCTCACCATCAGAGGTCTGCAGGACCACGGTCTTGCTGTAGGGCCCGACGCCAGAGGAGTTGAAGGCTTTGACTCTGGCATTGTAGGTGCTGTTGAAGTGGAGCCCGTCAATGGTGCACAGGGTCTCCTTGCCCACGTATACTTCCTGAAAGAGCCAAGGACATTCGTTAGGCCTCAGGGCTTCTGCGAGTTCCCCTGAGGGCACATCCACACTAGAAGTCCCCTCATACCTACAGAAGTACCAGATAGAGATGCTCCAACCCAGGCTAGTCACCCTGGTGGGGGGCAGGCTTTGCCATGGATTGCTGTAAGAGGAATGGGGTCCTGGGAGGATGGGGTTGTGGGTGTGACGCTAGGATGTTGCCTGAGAGCTCCCTGTCTCCACTTTCAGCCCTTCCAGAAACCAAGGGGGACACCTGAAAACCCTCCTGCCCTGAGATCATCATCATCTGCTCCTTGACACCTGTCTCTCTGGTTTCTGTTTCTCCAAGACAGCGAGCTTCCTCGCGCCAGACCTTGATTCTCATTTCCTAGGGTTTTTGCTTTATTTCCCGTTCATTTATGAGTTCCCTTTGTCCTGCTAAACACCAGTTTGTGTTGGATTGTTTGAAACAAGATGTTACTCCATAGCCCACGCTAGCCTCAGACTCTCACTCCTTCTGCCCCAGCCTCTGAGTGCTGGGGTTAGAGGGATAAACCACACACCTAGCTAGCATTCATGAGCCAGCAGCTTGCCAGGTCCTGACGGGCCCAAGAGGACACCCTCCACTGCAGAAATATGCTTCCAAGACAGCCCACCTCACCACCCTAGCGTCAAAGCCAGAGAGCCAGGCTAAAGGCAGTGTGGAAAAGCCCCGCAAAGAATCATGTGGGAGGTATGTAAGATGTGGGCTAGCCTGTGGAAAGTGTATACATGTAGGCAGGGCCCTCTCTGAGGTGTCGTTCCTTGAATATCACTCAAACTTCTTTGACAGACACCTCTCCCTGTGGCTATGGCCACAGCTACTACCATAGGAAGTGCTGCCTCCTGAGAACCCAGGCTGGTAGAATCTCTTTGTCTTTGTAGTCAAGGTGCTTGTCTTCGGGTAACAACAGGGTTAAGAGCAGCCCAGGACAGTCCTGTCTGGGCTTGCGCATTAGGATTTTCAAACAACAGCAGGCATCACCTGCAACTGCCCTCTGGACCAGCAGGCCTCGGCAGGCCTCAGTGGAAGCCACCCCCTGAGCAGCAGCATCTAGCTCACCCGGAACTGCCCCCCATCGCCGTCGTCCAGCTCCAGGATGTAGCCATCAGCGGGGCTGTGGGTAAAGGGCGGTGTCCTCCAGGCCAGGGTGACGCTGTTATTGCGGGTGCAGCACTTCTCCAGCTGCAGCAGGGGTACAGGTGGCACTGTGACAGGGGTCACTCTGGTCAGCACACAGCACCCTCCTGCAGGCCCCAATCCACCCCCACCCACCCAAACCCTCGGGACCTGTGCCCTGAGGAAGAAACTCCTCTTTTCTTTCTTCCCACCAAGAGCTCCCGGGCCATGAGGCACACCCAAATGACCTCAGCACAGCCCATACTATACATGCTGTAGAGTCACCTGCGTGGGTTCAGAAGGCGGAGGACAGGGCAAGAAACCAAGTGGGAGCCAGTCTGCTACTTACACTTGATCTGGGAATGGAGGGGCTGTAGCTTGGATCTTAACGTCTCTCAAACGCCCCTGTGTTAAAGGCTTTTCTCCCCAGGATGGCACTTTGCGAGATGGGGATGAGAGGGCATATTAGTGGTGTGCCCATGAAGGAGATGGCAGGGCCCTAGCTCTTTTCTCTTTCTCCTTTCTGGCTACAGGACAGGGGGCTCTGCCATGGCATGCCCACCACGGGTCCAAAGCCACAGGCCAACCTCAGACTAAAACATCCAAAGCCATGCAACCCAAACAAATCTTTCCCCTTTTATAAGTTGGTCACCTCGGATGTGACAAAAAGATTACCGACACAGTTGGAAACTTGATGGGAGCTTTGGAAGCTTTGCAAGGTCACAGGACTAGACCATGGCACCAGACACAACTTCACGTGGCTGGGTAGCCAACCCATGGAGCAAGGCACAGAATCCAGCATGCTCTGAGCTCACTAAAGGCAAGCAGGAAAACCTGAACACGTCCCAGCTCTATTCAGGCTCAAGAGGATCTGGAAGGTGACACAGGCCACTCTGGCCTGGTTTGGAAGGAAACGGCAAGACTTGTTCTATAAACCTGCAGGCTTCGTTTTGACTCAGAATGACCTTGTTGTCTGTCCAGGGTTGGCTGGTGGCCCAGGAGAGGGAGCCTGTGTCAACAACAGGCGTTTGGCCTCTTTCCTCCTGCTCTCCTACTTCCTTACTTCCTGTCCTCCTTTTTCCTTCATTCTCCCCTCTTCTCACTTCTCTTCTTCCTCTTCTTTTCTCCCTCCTCTTTATTCTCCTCCTTTCTTTTTTTCTTCCTTCTCCTGTTAGAATTACAGGCACCCCATACCTGGCTCCTCCCCCTCCCCTTTGTTCTTTTCTCCCCCCTCCTCTTCACCCCCCCCCCCATCATCTTCCTTCTCCCCCTCACCTGGGAATACACCCTGACATCTACACAAGCCCTCTGCCCTTTCTCTCTAGCACCTGCTGCTAGCATCAATAGGCCCCTGGATGGCCACTTCTTTAGCCTGGAAGTGCAGTCTGGGTAGGAATCTGCAGCCTTGCTCACATCTGCAACCTGAGCCCCTGGGCAGCCCAGTTCATGATGACACTGCCCCTGTTCATTCTGCTTCCTGTCCTTGATCCTTGGTCTAAGAAAGGCAGTTCAGGCAGCTGCAGCTCTCCTTTCCTGGCTGGGACCTGGGCAGTATCTCCTTTTTTTTTTTTTTTTTTTAAAAGACTTATTTATTTATTATGTATACAACATACCTTCCATGTATGCTTGCATGCCAGAAGGGGGCACCAGGTCTCATTATAGATGGCTGTGAGCCACCGTGTGGTTGCTGGGAATTGAACTCAGGACCTCTGGAAGAGCAGTCAGTGCTCTTAACCTTTGAGCTATCTCTCCAGCCCCATGGCTGGGACCTGGGATCCTCACTCTTCCCTCTGCTACCATGCATGATGGGCTCCCGCCACCATCAAGCCGGCCTTAGCCTGTGTGCCTCTCGGGGAGGCAGTGTCACTAAATGGGTCCGACCACGGCTCACCCCTACATTTCATCTGGACGAAGTCCAGCTGGTGGATAGCTTGCAGCAGCGGCTCGCTGTCCAAAGTCAGGTCAAATTCCGCAGACACTTTGGGCTCCAGGGCACCTTTGACCCACTGCTCCTGGGACACCTGCACACGCTTGATCAGGGCATCTGAGATCTTAAAGGAAGCACAGAAAGGAGGTTTGGGTCTGCAAAGGAAGAGCGGCCTGCCTTTGTGGGAAAGGGCTCAGCTTTATCTATGGCTCATCCAAGGAAAGAGGTGGACTGAGCTTGGACCAAGCTTAAGTGAGCACAACCACCTAGACGAACTGTGTTATTTCAGCCACAGCTCAACCATATGATCATATTAATGTGTGTGTGTGTGTGTGTGTGTGTATATATATACACACACATATATATATTATTTTTCTGATCATGTTAATGTGAAGAACCACCAATGAAATTAAAATAAAAGAGGTGGCCCAACATTTTTACAAAGTCATGGTGCTTTTTTCAGGTAGGTAAACACACCCTTCATACATCTGTTTGGCTAGGCCTCTCACTTGGCAAGGTGAGATATACTAGCAGCTTGTCCCTGGGTGTGAAGAATGTGCTTCCATTGCCCCCCGGTTTTGAAGCCATGCCCATGTCCTCTTGCTGTGTCTTCTGTCAGCTGTCCCATGGCTTCTGCTGCAAATCCTGTGTCGCACCTGTGTTCTGCCTTCCTTTGCTGCAAGATTCTGTGTCTGAGACCTGGATGCATGTTCCCAAAGAGTCATGATGTGCACTCTTCTCCTCCTCTTTTCTTTTTAGATTTATTTTCATCTTATGTGTACAGATGTTTGCCTGCACTATGTGTAGGCCTGGTCCCCCAGGAGGTTAGAAAAGGGCATGAGATCCCCAGAAACTAAGGTTACAGATCATTGGGAACCACCACGTGTGTGTTAGGAACCAAACCCAGGTCTTCTGCAAGGGCAGCAAATGCTCTTAGTCGCTGAGCCATCTTTTTAGTCCTCCCTGCAGCCTTCTTTGAGAGTAAGCAATGGGATCCACGACTTCTTCCACGGCTAAGCTGATACATGACGATGTTCTTGAGAGTGAATGTCCTCAAGTTAGCCTGCCTGTGGGGCAGTGACCCTAACAGGACTGCACATCTCTGGGGGAAGGTGGACCCTGCCCCTCACCCCCCTCTGTGCAGTTTGCCCGGCTCATGTGGCATAGACGGTGTTTTCCCATTACTGGGAAGAAACTGGAGCGAGGCATGTAGTCCCTAGAGATGGTGCCTTTTCCACTTCTTGTTTACTGGCTGGTGCAGAATCAGGGTTCTTGCTAGTGAGATTCAGAGCCATGGTGACAGCCCAGGTCTCCTGGCCTCACAGAGCAAATGGGAAGCTATTCAAATCCCAGCCAGAGAAGGACAGAGCCTAGAGCAAGACCTGGTTCAGGAAGAGCAGGGAACATTGGTGGAACAGAAGGAAGTTGCCTTCAGTAGTCCTCCAGGGGCTACCCACCTGCAGGAACCCAGAAGGGTCATCTTCCTTGATCACCTCCAGACAGTACTCCATCAGGCCTGTGGACTGGCGCAGCTTCAGCGTGCAGTGATTGATCTGGTCCCAAACCATCTGGAATGGAGAGTGTGTGAGCAAGAAAAAGTTACAGCAACAGTGTGTGAACAAGAAACATAGTTACAGCGACAGTGTGAGCGGGTGCCTGGGCGGCTGGGAAGAGGCCTGTGGCTCTGCCCACTACACCACCAGCACTCGACCCTGCTCCCCAGTTTTGTAGTCTTTGCTGAGGATCAATGGGCCCACTTTTAGCACAGCAAAGCTTTCTGGGCTCTAGGCAGCCAGGAACACAAAGAAAATGATGTACACCTCCCTCTGTGATGTGGCCAGCTTCCTGACTGATCAGAGATAACTTCCCAGAACACATGGATCCCTTCCAACACACAACCATCTCTCTTTAAAGTAGCATTTTCTGAGGGGTGTGTGGTACTCAGGAAGCCTGGGTTATATACTGAGTTTGATAGTTTGTGGCCAGCAAGCCCCTATATCAAAAAACAAACAGATAAGCTAAAATAGTGTTTTCTGGGATGGGGATGTAGTTGGTAGTGTGCTTTGTCTAGAATGTCTGAAGCCCTGGGTTAGCCCAAGAAGGGCAGGACATGCCTGGAATCCTAGCACACAGGAGGTGGAGGCAGGAGGATCAAGAGTTCAAGGTCTTTCTCAGCAAACTTGAGGCCAGCCTGGGCTGCATGAGACCCTCTCTAAAGGAAAAACAGGTGTTTGCTAATTCACTTAAATACCTCTGGCACAAACCCCCTTAGAACCACTTTGGGTCATTCTCAGCCTCTACCTGAGCCAGGAACTTAGTGCTAGAAAGGGACATGACTCAAAGTCCCTTAGCAGAACCTGGCCACACACAGCTTTGCTGATTATGGATACGTGAGATCTAGAAGTCTGAAGAAGGAGACAGAGCGGGAGACCCGAGCAGAACCTGACTGACTGCTTCTGTTACTGTCCGCACCTGCTAGGCCAGATGAGAAGACCCACCCACTTGACAGACACAGGCATCCAGAGCAAGTGAGAGAGGGGAGACGGATCTGAAGACAACAGGATGTTGTAGGCCGGCTGGCTTTGGAGATTGTTTGAGAGGACTCCCTGACTCCTGAGCATAACTAGACCAGCCAGCTCTGAGCCTCCCAGCCACATCCACTCACTCAGTCACTTACGACCATCCTGTGCTTAGTTAGGCAGGACCACCCTATGCTGGGTGCAGGTGACCTAACAGGGATAGAGGACCAGGTCCCTCAGTTCTTACCTTCAGCTTGTGCTCCCTCTCTTTGGTCACCTTGGTGAGCAGCTTGGCTTTCTGCCGGGTCAGTGCGTCCACCAGGGCATCACACTGTGCCACCAGGCAAGCTTCATAGTCCAATCCATTTTCCTGGGGAAGCAGAGAACCATGATGAGGAGATGCTGGTACCACAGTGTAGAAGAAACGGCTCCTCTCAGAGCTCTCCCTAATGTTTCTAAGTTGGGGGCAGCATGAATCATGAGTGTGCATCAAGGGAGGGTCCCATAAACCATGACACAGCTCACACGGTGAAACAGCCTGTGCTCTGTTCCTAGGACATTTTTAGTGCCACGTAGAAGTAATCATAAAGATAGTTAAAAGGGAAGAATCCTGGGTGAGGTGGGGCTTGCCTGACATCCCAGCACCTGAGAGGTGGAGGCAGGAGGAGCTCGACCTGAAGGCTAGCCCCAGACCTTGTCTTCAAAAAGGAGAAGGAGGAAAAGGAGGAAGAAGGTAGGACACAAGTTGTTCATGGAATAATCTCATACAGTGAGTGTGTGTGCATATGTGTGTCTGTGTGTCTATCTGTATGTATGTGTATATGTGTGTATGATTGTATCTGTATGATGTACAGATATGTGCCCATGTTCTATATGTACTTATATATGTGTGTGATTGTATGTATATGGATGTACAGATGTGTGTCTGTGTATCTATCCATATGTATGTATATATGTGTGTGTATGATTGTATGTATATGGATGTGTGTAGTGACAAGCTTGGTCACCTTGGATGAGGGATGTTGGTCAGCTTTTTCCTCCGTTCTATCTTCCTTACTCTCCAAAATCTCTGTACCACGCACTTTGCTTTTCATAACCAGAAAAAGTAAAGTGAACAAAAGAGCATGAGTCTGTCTGTCTCAGTTCCCAGCTCTCTAGGATCTGAGTAGATTCTGACTTCTAACTAGGGGTTAAATTGTCCCTCTGGATCGCATTCCAAATCATAAACCCCAGGACTACACAGTGTGGCTGTGTTTGAAGCCAGAAGGTAAAATGAGGCCACCAGGGTGGCCCCAGTCCAATCCAAATGGTGTCCTTATAAGAAGAAATCAGGACACAGACACACAGCGGGACGGCCACATGAGGACACAGGAGGACTGCCATCTGCAAGCCAGGCAGAGAGGTCACCTTGCACTTGCAGCCCCTGCGCTGAATCCATTTCTTCTGCTGTCTCTCCTTCATCTCTGATCTCTTATGGTAGCGTTCAAGAAAACTAATACTTCTGTTTCATGAAACATCAGAGGCTTGTGATTTAAGGCTCCCATGGGAATCAGGCAGGGAGGGCACCGCATGTCTATCCTCTTAGTACTTTTGAGACTAAGATCGGGTTGGGCTTTGTAATGAGACCCTGCATATAACAACAGCAACAACAACAATAATAACAATTTTTAAAGGAGGAAGAAAGGTAGGGGAGAAAGAGGAGGATAAAGAAGAAGAGAGGTTCAGAGCCCTTAATCCTTTTCTCGGGCAAGGCATGAAAATGCTCCAGGCCTTCCTCTGTGCACATGGACCCTCTGTGTGTATGTGGTGAACTCTCTCCCTTGCACACAGCTCACTGAAGCGAGACTCATTGCTCTCTGTATGTCTTTCAGGCTCAATATGGGACATAGCATAGACACTCAGATAACAGGTTTGTTTAGGAAATGAGGTGTGTATGTTCTGGTGCACGGATTGCACAAACGCATCTCAGTACAAAAGTGTTACCTGCGTGTAAACGGATGGAGACTGGCTCCTTCAGTACCCAGGACGGTACAACCAGACAGGTGGGCCCTCTAAAAACATCACTGCTGAAAACCACTGTCTCAAGACCAACCCTCCTCTTCCTCTGTGTGTGACAAACAGCCCACCCGGTCTGTCCAGCCATCTGTCCAGCACCCGGTCTGTCCAGCTGTCTGTCCAGCCATCTGTCCAGCACCAGCGTCTGCTCACCTGGATCTGCTGCAGAATGTTCTTGAGCTGAACCAGAAACTCCTTCGCCTCCTTGGCCTTATCTGAAACCCCATTCAAGGCCTGAGACAGCTGGGCCTGGAAAAGACATCAAGGATGGAGAAGCTCGTTAGCGCGGGAGGTGTGCACCTGCACCCATCGTGCTAGCCTGTGTTTGTAAGGGAGCTAAACCGGTCCCCTTGGTAAGTGGTCCTCACTTAGAGAAGAGGCAACGGCTAATCCACAAGCCCGACAGTGCATGCCTGTTTCCCGTTTGTGGTTGATGTTGTTTACGTGCGGGGCCGAGAGGGAAGCTCGGGATCTTGCTACCTGCACATGCTAAGTAGCCACTCTACCACTGAGCTACATCCCCAGACCAACATGGATCTACTTCCCGACAGGGCTTGGTGAGTTGTTCTAGTTTCATTTCTGTGGCTGTGATAAAATAACCTGGAAAAGGTAATGTAGGAGAGGAAGCGTGTGATTGGCTCGCAATTCCAGCTTATGGTCCATTATTGCGGGGAAGTCGAGGCAGGAACATGGAGCAGCACACCCGTCGTTAAGAGCATAAATGCATGGTTCTGTGCTCACTTGCTCTCAGAGGGCTTCTTCCTCTTATACGGTCCAGGATTCCTTGCCTAGGAAATAGTGCTGCCCACAGCCAACTAAGTCTTCCCACGTTCATTAGCTTAGTTAAGACAGCACCACCACAAAGGGAGAGATGCCTAGAAGCCAACCCAATGTCAGTGATTCCTCATAGAGGGACTCTCTTCCCAGGGGATTCTAGGTGTGTCAGGTTGACACCTGAGTGTTAACTAGTCCATGCTCCACCCACTGACCCCAAAGCTGCATTCCAGACTTGTGAGCTAATTGGTGGAAACTAACAGCCTGCCCCAATGGCTGCAGTGCTCTGGACAATAACACAGTGGGCACAGGCCTTTGCCTGGCCTGGCCTTCCTCCTCCTGCCACAGACAGACCTGTCTCCCATCAGTAGTACTATAAATATTCCTGACCCCAGTCAGGCCCCACCCTCCACCTACCACGGTGACAGAAAGTCTGACAACTCGCAAGGGAGAACTGTGTATGGACTGGACTCACACTGCTCCATCCACGGAACCACTGGACCAGATCCTTTCCGGATCCTCGGGCAGAGCCTACCTACTTACACCTGGGCCTCCGGTCTCTGCAACGGATCTGTTTGTTTTTCTCCAAGACAGGGTTTCTCTGTGTATCTCTGGCTGTCCTGGAACTCCCTCTGCAGACCAGGCTGCCCTTGACCTCGCAGAGATCTGCACATCTCTGTCTCCCTGAGTGCTGGGATCTATTATTGTAAGCTACTTGATTTGCACTGACTTATCTGATAACTGCGACCAATGAATCCATTAGGTACAGTCTTTTCTTCTAGTCCTTCATGAATATTCATAAGATGGAATTACACCACGCCTGTACTTTGTCCACACAACACAAACAAACATAACCTTCTGGAGAAGAGGAGGGGGTGGGCCAAGGTCCACTACTTCAGGATGAGTCAGAAGCCCAGAAACCCAAGCAAGTGTCATGGCGTCCTGCTAACTCTCTCTAATCAGTCCCCCACCCAGCCTTTCCTGAGGCAGACGGAGACTAGGGACCCTACTTGAGGACAGTTCCAAACGAACCAGCTCTTTGGAGCTCAGTCCTATTTCCATTCCATCGTTCAGTGGCAGAGCCCAAGGTGGGAGCAGCTCTTTCCCAGAGCTGGCCAGGGGAACAGGACAATTAGGGCAAGCCAGCCATGCTTCTAATTCTCACAGAGGGTACAGTTATGAGAGACGTCCCATCTAGGCCTCACCGCGTGAAGACACAGAGGGTACAGTTATGAGAGACGTCCCGTCTAAGCCTCACTGTGTAAGGGCACAGAGGCGAGGCCGTGGACAGGGACGCAGTCTCTGCCACTCAGCCTTTGCACTTACAGTAATGAGCATGACAGTGACAGGGCTTTTCCTTGTGACGTGTGACAGGTGGTCTCCATTGTGTTCAGTCAGGAAAGTGCGTAGTCTCTGGGCTGGCGAAAAGGTTCAGAGAGAAAAGTTCTCGCTGTGAAAACTTGGGTCCCCAGCCCCTAAGTAAAAGCCCAGTGTAACCCCAGTGTTGCATGGGATGGTGAAAGGCAGATGTCTGAAGCTCATTGGCCAGCCCACCTAGCTGTTGGAGAACCATTGGAGAAGATACCCAACGTTGACCTCTGGCCTCTACCGTCACCCCAACACAAGTGTACTCAAATGCACAAGTGCACAATACCATCATAAGCATGTACATAGACAAGAAGAAGTTCATCCAAGAAGAACGCATTGTCTTAATACAAACGGCAAATGACCAAATTCTACAAACACCTTCCCTGTAACTAGCTTCCTCTGCCTGCCCATACCTCCTCTGCCCATGTGACATTCCAGTAAATTGGTCCAGCAAACCTACGCCCAGTGTATGTATTCTCTGGGTCAAGAAGAAGCATGCCAGCATTTCCCAACTGGCTCCTGTCATCTTGCGAGGTCAGCTGATTGCTTCTGACACACACAAAAAGAGAAATCTGCTGCAGGCAGGCAAGAGGGAGGAAGGGATGGAGGAAGGGAGGGATGGAGGAAGGGAGGGGGAGACAGAAAGGGATGGGAGAGGTGGAGAGGGAGAGGAAGAAGGAAAGGGAGTGAAGGAGGAAGGGGGAAGGGGAGGGAGGGAAAGAGGGGGCAGGCAGACAGGCAGGCAGAAAGGATGAGGCAGTGGTGAGCTCAGAGTGTACGGAAATGTGTACCCGGAAAGACATTGATTGTTCTTGTATTTTCACACACGGTCCCCTAAGAATGACCCTTCCTTTGTGAGTCTCTCTGCGCAGGAGTCGGTGAGCAGTTAATAGTATCAGCTCCGAAATAATAATCTATGGTATTGACATTAGCATACATCTCAGGGTTACAGCTTATTCATTACTCAATAAAGGTTCTTTTGACCTTCTGAGTGCCGGCTGCTCTGCCGGCTACTAGAGTACAAAGACGCAATTAAGGCGCGATCCTTGCTCACAGGGTCCTTGAATTACGCTGTTATTTATGTGTGTGGTGTCTAGAGATGGCTCAGAAATGAAGAGATAATGTCAGGCTCTGTCAGCTGCATGGCATCATGCAGGTGTGAATAACGAGAGTCTAACAAGATGGAATTCTATTTTTAAAGCTGGTCTAGTATTAGAATAAGTGCCCACTGGAGGACTCGAGACTACCCAACTGGTGGGAAAGAAGCGAAAGTGAGCTCAAGCCACACTTCCTGAGCAGATAATAGCTCAGGTCACACCCCACCCACCAGCAACAAGAATAGGCCTGGTTGGGGAAGTATGGGCACAAACCCTTCACAGGCATCTCAACCTCAGCCGTGAAGCTAGACCACATGCCAAGCAGAGCCAGGCAAGGTGCTTGACACCCCCAAACCAAAGCAACTTCCTTAGGACCAGACAGGTTATAGTTTTAGCACCCTAAAATCAAGATGACCTCGCTATGGTCAGGTTACCTCAAGTATCGGTGTCTCAGAACCAAAGTGCCCTCCCTAGGATTAGGTCTTGAAACTACAATAGAATCGCTTCTGCGACAATAATGACTAAGAAGAATCTGTCTCAGTTCATCTCTGTGGTCAAATCACCCAAATAAATAAATAAATCACTTCTGTCTCACGGTTTAGATTACACCCTTTACCATCCACACCCCTCTACTCCCCTGACCCCTGACTTGCCTCTCTTCTGTCCCACACTGAGAACTATCTCCATACATGTTCAGTAGTATGCACACTGCTGCTATTCTCTTTCCTTCCTTCATTCTTTCCTCCTCCTCCTCTTCCTGTTCTAGATTTTTCAAGATTTGGTTTTTCCAGAGCTGTCCTGGAAGTTGCTCTGTAGACTAGGCTATCGTCGAACTCAGAGATCTGCCTGCCTCTGCCTCCCCATTGCTTGGATTAAAGGTGTGGGCCACCCTGCTTGGTACTGCGGATGTTCTGGGTTTCTTGGTTATAATGTGACAGCTGCCTCTTGTCCACTTAAACGACCAGAGGTAAGAATCATCCCAAATCATCCTCTCCATCATCCTCTTAAATCCCTTTCTGCCATTTCCTCATGGATCCCTTTTTCTTGCTTCTTTTCTCTCCCCAATTTTGTTCCAGTAGCTTGGAAAGTAAATTGAGGTGTTCAGAAGGGGTCTTCCATCAGGTTTTATTAGCAAAACAGAGTAAAGTGTGTAGACAGAAGTTTCTGTCCCATCTGGTCCCGCAGCTTTTCTCAGTAAGGCATTCTCATCTTGCTTCCTCTGCTTCTGGATGATGACTGCATCTCTGCCCTTTCTCTTCCCAGAATTCTCCTAGTCTGGTTGCCCCACCTATACTTCCTGCCTGGCTACTGGCCAATCAACATTTTATTAAACCAATACAAGGAACAAATCTTTATAGTGTACAAGAGCATTATCCCACAGCAAAAATGATGAAAATGGATAAGAACTCTGACCTGGCTTTGCCAGTTCTCCTGTGAGGTTTAAATGGGGCTAAGGATAGACCTTTCTTTGCCTCTCAAGCTTGATGTCCCTTCCATGTGGCCTCTTGGTTTCTTTGTTCCACCAGACCTCTCCATTGTCTACAGACATTTCCATAACTTTCCAGTGCCAAAGGGGCAGCTAATTACTCAAGTTTCCCAGTTTTGTTAGACACAATGTCATGTTTCTTACTATCCCTCTCATTTGTGTCAGCATTTAAACACCAGGCGCTCTACCAGTAGTGAGTCTTAGTAAGCTACAGGTATGGAACCCGGCTGGGTGAGCGGGGCTGTGTGAGGACCAGTCCTCAGCAGTGATGGATAGAGTAACAGAAGCAATAGGGGAGGCCAAACAGGCTGATGGGCTACAATGATGCCATAGGAGGTGTGACATCAGACGGTGACATGCCATCTCAACGTGAACAGTGGTCATTCTGGAGTCTCTGGTACCCATGCTGGGAAGAGTAGCTTCTTCCAGCAACCATAAGGATATTCTGGGTTCCTGTTGTCAATATCTCTGGCAACATATTGGTTTTGTCATGGTCTCTGAGACACCTAGGAAGTAGGGGAGTC